CCCTCGCTCCCCCGTTCCCACACCGTTCGGCCCCACATCGGTGGCTTCCGTTGGGCGCCGTCCCCCGCCTCCGCCCCTATTTCCCCACGCCCCTCCCCGTTCACAGAACAAGCCTGTCCCGGGCTCCACGACGGACGAGGCGGATTGCACGACCGCCACGGCCCACTCCAACGTCGAGATCGGGATCGGTAAGACCTACCCGACTACCTCCATGAAGCTCAACATCGGCGCCTACGCCGAGCTCGCCCCCTTATTTGACGAGACTTCCGGCGCGACGAAGATCGGCGACCCCTCACTCGAGGAGAGCTTCACGACCGCCACGGCCCTCTCAGAGGTCGATGTGGCCTCGCTGCTCTTTCTCCACTCTTGTGCGGCCGTGCTGGCGCTGCTCCTCGCGGCGTGCCTTGAGCCGCCGTTGCGTGGGCAGGTCAAGAAGAAGAGGGTGGAGCGCAGCAGCCACGCAGAGATCTCCGTACCCTTGCTTTCCAGCACGCGTGCTCTCCGAGTTGGCATTGTGATCCTCTTCTTCCTGCAGGGCGTATGGGGCACCCCAGCGGCACCGCCCGTCAACGTCAGCAGCCCGTGCTCGCTCACGGACGGCGGCTGGTGCGCCGCGTCGCCAAACTACCCGAACAGCTACGGCATCAACGAGGAGTGCACCATCAGCGGTGTGCCGCCGGTCGGGCTGGAGGTGATCGGTTTTGATGTGGAGGCGCACAGCAGCTGCAGCTGGGACTATCTCACCGTCAACGGCATAACGTACTGCGGCACCTCGGGGCCGAGTGGCGCGGTGGCGGAGGACGGCGTCATCGAGTGGCGATCGGATGGCATCGTAGTCAAGTCGGGCTGGAAGGTGTGCCCCTGGTGCCTCTCGCTCCCCTTCCGTCTCCTCTCTGATGCCCTCCTCCCTCTGCCGTCAGATCTGCTGGCCGCCATCACCGCCATCACCGCCATCACCGCCGCCGCTGCAGCCGCTGCCGCCGCTCTCCCCCGGCTATGTCGCCGCGGCGACCGAGACCGAGCTCCGCAACCTGATCGAGGACGCTACTTCAACTGCTGCCAACGTCTCCATCTACCTGCCGCCCGGTGCAGAGTTCAAGCTGAGCAGCCAGATCAGCTGCACCTCATCCATCAAAGTGACCGTCGCGAGCAGCGGCGAGGGCGCGACGCTCGACGGCCAGGGAGAGACCAGGCTCTTTTACCTCTCGGGCGGCTGCAGCCTCACCCTGCGGGGGCTGACCCTCGTCAACGCGAGGGCGGCCTTCGGTGGCGTTGTGTACGCGAACCGCGCAGGCGACGTCGAGATCATCGAGTCGGTCGTGAGGGACTCTGCTGGCGATGTGCGCCGCGTAGAGCTAGCCGCCGCCCTGCAGCACCGCACGGCAGCGGGGCGAGAGGTAGAGAGGGCCACGGCTGCCTCACCCCGCTCTCTCCTCGCAACCGCAGTGGGGCGGCGTCGTCTCCGCGTACGACAGCGGTGCGGTCTCGATAACCAGCTCGGACGTGTCGGGCTGCTCGGCTGGCGATGTGCGCCGCGTAGAGCTAGCCGCCCAGTAGCGTCGCAAGAGGGCCGGCCTGCCTCACCCCGCTCTCTCCTCGCAACCGCAGTGGGGCGGCGTCGTCTACGCTTGGAACAGCGAGTCCCTCTCCATCGCGGGTGTCGACTTCATCAACAACTCGGCTTCAACAGGCTCGGTGCTGTACCTGACAAACCACGAACAAACCTCCATCAGCAACGCCTCCTTCACCGGCAACAACGGTATCACGATACAGACTGAAAACTCGGAGATAGACTGGGTATGCCGCTTGGGCAGCTGGTTGCCGGCCGAGGGCTCCTTTAAGGGCGACTTCAGTGTCCCCGAGTGCAACCCTTGCTCCGCTGGCTACTATGGGGCAACGACAAACCTCACCGACTCCTCCTGCAGCGGCCAGTGCACCAGGGGCCACTTTTGCAAGGAGGGGACCGCCGACCCCGAGCCCTGCCCGGTCGGCACTCGCATGCCCGCCCTCGGCGCGGCGAGCAGCGAGAGCTGCATCCCGTGCGCTCCGGGCCAGTATCAGCCCCTCGCGGGAGAGGAGGAGTGCCTTCCTTGCGCAGCGGGCTCCTTCTCTCCCGACGTCGGCCTCGCCGCCTGCGACCCTTGCCCGCGCGGAGGCTACTGCGAGGAGGCGGGCGCCGCCACACGCATGGTCTGGGAGCCGTGTCCCGCCGGCAGCTTCAACCCGGCCAACGGCTCCAACTCGAGCGCCGCGTGCGAGCTCTGCCCCGCCGGCACCGCGAGCGCAACGCGGGGCGCGGAAAGCAGAGAGACGTGCTCGCCGTGTGAGCCCGGCCATTTCGCCGCCACACCCGGCCTCTCCAAGTGCGAGCGGTGCGCCGCGGGATTCTATCAGAACTCGAGTGGCGCCGAGGAGTGCACCCGCTGCAAGCGTGGCAGCTTCTGCCCGGTCGGCGCGTCGCTCGAGCTGCCTGCGGCGTGCGAGCCGGGTACATACGCCGACGTCACGGACGGCGACGGCATCCCCGACTGCTTCGACTGCCCGGCGGGCTCGTCGTGTCCGGGCGGCGCCGCGCGTCCGACGCAGTGCGCGGCGGGCACGATCGCGCCGACCGAGCGGATGGAGGCGTGCGACAAGTGCGCGGGCGGGACCTACCAGAGCGATACGGGCGCTACGGGCTGCCGCGCGTGCAAGCAGGGCAGCTACTGCGCCGTGGGCGCCGCGGCGCCGCTGCCGTGCGAGGCGGGTTCCTACTCGACCGCGACCAACCTCACCGCCGCGAGCGAGTGCACCGACGCTTCGCCGGGCCACTTCGCCACCACCGGCTCCACCGAGCAGACGGCGTGCACCAAGGGGTCGTACACGAACCAGACCAGGCAGGGCGAGTGCACGCCCTGCGCCGGCGGCACGTACCAGGACATGGGCGGCAAGACGGAGTGCAAGCCGTGCGAGGCGGGCGGCTACTGTGCTGTTGGCGCGGCGGCGGCGCTGCCGTGCGAGGCTGGCAGCTACTCGCGCGCCACCAACCTCTCCGCCGCGGGTGAGTGCACGGCCTGCCCCGCCGGCAGCGCCTGCTCCACGGGCAGCATCGAGCCGACGCCGTGCTCGCCTGGCACTTTCGCCGCGAAAGAGGGGCAGTCCGAGTGCGAGTCTTGCCCTCCCGGCACCTCGTCGAATCAAGGCAGCGTCGCGTGCGACGAGTGCGTGGCTGGCAAATACGCCGCCAACGCTGGCCAAAGCCTCTGCAATCTATGTCCGCATCCCCTCAGCTCGGTCAGCGGCAGCACCATCTGCTCTATCTGCATGGACGACTACTATCTGCGGAACAGCTCGGCCGACCCAGGAGACATCTTGACCTCCCCGACCGAGTTCTGCAAGCCCTGCCCGCCGAACGCTGCCTGCCCGGACAACACCACCCTTTCTTCCCTCGTCCTCCTGCGCGGCTTCTGGCGCGCCAGCCCCTCCTCCGCCGTGCTGACAGAGTGCCGCCTCTTTGGCGGCAATGCCAATGCCGGCAAGACGCGGTGCGCCGGCAGCGAGCCGGTGGCGAGAGGCCGGAGGATGGTGGAGGCGGGCTCAGAGTACTGCGCTTCGGACTTCAAAGGACCCGAGTGCCAGCTCTGCGTCGCGGAGAAGCACCACCTCGTCGACGGCGACACCTGCGAAGTATGCGCTCCGCGCGGCGCGGCGGCTGGCCGCATCGCCGGCCTCGTCCTCGGCCTCTGCGTCGCGTGCGGCTTGGCGGCGTGGGCCTACCACATGCCGTGGCGGAAGGAGCGCATCATCGGCCCTCTCCTCCGCTTTGCAGACCGCTCCGTCAAGTACTACGTCGGGGTCGGAATGACGGCAAAGCTCAAGATCTTGTTTGGCTTCTATCAGATCTGCACCGTCCTCTCCTCCACCTACTCCGCGCGGCTGCCGGACAAGTACACGGGCTGGACGGACAACTTGGCCAACGTGATCTCCATCGACTGGTCTGGCTTTTTCCTGCCGGAGCAGTGCCTCGGCTACGCTCTGCGGCTCCTCGCCATCGCCCTCTCCCCCGTCGCGCTCATCGCCCTGCTAATGATCGCGGGAATAAGCCTGCGGCTCCGCTGCTGGCGCGCCGCCCCGGCGCCGCGCGAGAGGCCGTGGTACGCGGAGGCGGCCCTCGGCCTCCTCGACCTCACGCCGGCCGGTTTGGTGCTCATCTTCTGCTTCGTGCCCTCCATCAGCGCCTCCATCTTCCGCTCCTGGTCGTGCCAGGCGCCCTCTCACAGCTGATGACTGCCGTTGCTCACCCCCACCCCCCTCAGTCCTCACAACGTTCTGCTGATAGGCCTACACCATCTCTCCGCCCGGCGAGGAGCTAGAGCAGGTCTCCTACATGCGGCAGGACGCGAGCGTCGAGTGCGGCTCCGACGATCACGGACCCATCACCGCCCTCGCCATCGGTTTCATCGTCCTCTGGCCCGCCGGCTCGCTGGTCCTCTTCACGTCGCTCCTCGCCGCTTGCTACAAGCCGCTGCAGGCCAAGACGCCGAATGCTCTGACGCGGGCCACCGCCTTCCTCCACCGGGAGTACGAGACGACCTGGTACTGGTGGGAGGCGGTCGAGCTGGCGCGCAAGCTCGTGCTGACTGGCTTCGTGCTTCTGATCCCGGAGGAGCGCGCCTTTGTTCGCCTCGTGGTGGCGACGCTCATCTGCTCATGCTACGCCGTCGCACTCGCCGTCGTGCGGCCGTACAAGCGGGTCGAGGACAACGTCATCGCCGTCGCCACGAGCCTCGTGCTCCTCCTCCTCTTCCTCGGCACCAACTGGAGCACCATCTTCCTCGGCATCCAGGAGCGGTACCAGGGAGTAGATCCCGCCGATGTCCTCGGCTTCCGCAGCCTCAATGTGATTGTCGACTCGATGATCATCCTCGTTGCAGTCGTGCTCGCCTTCTTCCTTGTCGGCGCCATCATCGCCGCCCGTCGCGTCGCCAAGGTCCCCACGATCCGACTCGTCTCGACCAAGCAGCCCCCCGAGCTGAGCATCGCGAGGGGCCTCACGTGGCACCTCTTCAACAGCCACATCTGGTGAGTCACGGCTATGGAGGGAGAGAGGGAGCGAAAACAGCCGGCGTGATCCCCGCCCCTCACCCAAACGAATAGGTCGACCGGTCAAGACGCCGTCAAGGTCATCAAGGGTGAGCTCGAGCAGCTGCTGCCGGACATCAAAGTCTTTCTCGACGCGCGCACATGCTCATCAGCGCTGCTTAAGCTACACACAGAGCCCCCCTGACGCACCGCGGTGTGCTCATAGGTAGATGATCTCAAGGATATCGGGGCGCTGGAGGAGTACATCCAGAGCTCGCAGGTCATCCTCTTCTTCCTCTCGCAGGGCTACTTCCGCTCCAAGGCTCGCCTCTTCCTCCCACCCCGCCCCTCTACCGCACCCTGGCCCCAAGAACTGCCGCCTCGCCCGCGCCACAGAACTGCCTCCGAGAGGTCCGCTCGTCGCTCGAGAAGGACAAGCCGCTCGTCCTCGTCCAAGAAGCGGACCCTGAAAAGGGCGGCGGGACGCTCCAGGCGCTGCGCGACGAGTGCCCCGAGGACCTGCAGCCGGCCATCTTTGACAACGACTGGCCGCTCACGATTTGGTATCGCATCGATGAGTTTCAGCTCATCTCGCTCAAGATCATCGCCGAGGCGCCGCCGGCCACAACCAGCTCCGTTCTCTCACTCTACCTCCCGGCCAACCCCACTTGAACCACCCTAGGCGGTGCTCCTCTGCTCGCCCAACTTTCTGGACAGGACGTCCCTCCCGCTCTGCGTGTCGGGCGAGCTCGAGAGCCAGTCGCTCGCCTTTTCCAAACCGTGCACGCTCTGGGCCTCGCCAGCCAACGCGGGGTCGCTGGCGCTGGCCGATGAGATCGCCGCCGCCTTTGCCCCAGATCGTGAGACCGCCGGTCTCACGATCTGCACCACCGATGATCGGCCGGCCAGCGCGACGCACTTGCTGCTCTACCTCAACGAGGACAGCTTCGTCAGCGACGAGCGGCTGGCCGAGCAGGTCAAGCAGGCGCGGGAGGACAAGCTGAAGATCGTCATGGCGCACGAGAACGACCCCGCGCTCGGCGGCTGCCAGTTCTCGAGGTTTTTCGAAGTCACGCCGCAGGAGCGAATGTCTCAACGTGGCGCCTGTCCCGCCACCCCTCCTCCCCAACCCTCTCCCCCCCCAACGCCGCAGGAGCTCATCGCCGGCGGACTCTACAAGGACCTGGCAAAATCCTGCTTCCCCGGCCACCACCGCAAGGCGCGCGCCCTCTCTCCCACAGCGAGCTCTCCCCCGCATCGAGCGTTTCGTGACGAGGGGCGGGTCCCTGCCCGCAGGTGTCGCTCGTCCTTCTGGCAAAGAGCCTAGGCGCGACCCCTGCTCGGTCGCGGGCGGGCCTCCTCGCTTCAGGCAGCGTCGTTGAGGGCAGCACCAGTCTCGCGATGCGCAGCCTTGGCGGACTCAGCCGGGTGTTCGCCAAGATGAGCAGCCGCAGCTCTGCGGAGGCGCGCGAGGTCTCTGGAGGCGAGGCGTCGTCGGTGCAGCAGCCGGTCTGATCGGTTGCGCGATGTCGTGCGCAAAACGTGCGGCGCGGCGATGACCTGCAAACACGGGACGATTAGTAGAGCTAGCTCGCACATGGAGCATCCGTGGGATGTTGTGCGCGGCATTCACATTGCGTTGGAGGGAGGAGGGGGGGGCCACAAGTACATGGACATGTGCATGTGCACATGCATGCGCGTGTGCATGCGCATGTGCATGTGCATGCGCATGTGCATGTGCATGCGCATGTGCATGTGCATGTGCATGTCACGTGCACGGGCAGTTCGGGTGGAGATTATGATTTGCGTCGTGGGGTTCCTTCCAGCTCTTTGTCTTTCGTCCTGCGTGGCCGCGTAGAGCCGTATCGTGGTGACTGGCGTGGTGCCACTGCGCGCCAGTCCCGTGCCTAGTTTTTTGAGAGAAAATTCTTTTGTATTCGCGTTAAGCTTAAGGGGGGGTGGGGGGCATCCAGAAAAAAGGAAAACAGACAAGCCATCCAGCTTGCGTCAGCCGTGCGGAGTTCGATTTCTTTTGCCATCGGTGAGGAGGCGTGCACGGGGGCGTGCCCCGGAGACCTCCGGTGTCGGGAGGGGGCCACGCATGGGAGCCGGGAGTGCGTTCCCACGGGGGCTGGTTGTTTTTGGCCACACCATCCTGTTGCCGACAAGATTTTTTGAGAGCGCCTTCGTTGTGGCCCCGTGAGACCTTCAACTCACCACGGGCACGGCTGGCCATCGCGCGTGAACAGGCTCTGGCCTCTCGTTTTAACACAGCCCGTAAGGTGCCCCGCCGGGGTGCCGGTTCGTTTTCCGCCCACGAACATGACCTCGGAGAACGCATTAGCCGCTACAGCGGAAGCTGCGATTTCGGCTACCTCGGCCATTTCGATGTAGCGGCTTATGCGTTTCGTGACACAATCGCTAAAACTCGAGCCAGAGCTATGGGCGCCGAGTTCGCCACCCAATTTGTGTTAAAACAGAAGCAGGGCTCGTGGTTCGTTAACTGTAGACCGAAAATGGGCAAAAACGGGGTGATTTCGGTCATCCGTCAAAATATCTGAAGATCCTACTATAGGATTCTCCCCAAACCTTGCTCAGCTGATCCAGCCTGGGGGGAAGGCCAGCCCTGGGCAAAGAAACCAGTACCTCATCAGGCTTCCCTGAGCGTCACAGCTCGGTGATCGCGCCGGCCGGACACCACTGTGACGACCGTTCCGGGCAGTTGGAACGCAACCTTCGGGGGCAAAGACATGGGCTCTATGGCTCAGACTGGACTCCTCTTGGTCCCTTCTGATGCCCTAGGCCACACCTGGGCCTTACCTGGGGTCCTAGGGGCCGGGCAGGGTTTGCCCCCCTAAAGGGGCCCGGGGAACCTTAAAACGGAAGCAGGGCTCGTGGTTCGTTAACTGTAGACCACACGGACGCGCGGCCGGCGGCTGAGAAGGCCACGCAGCCCCTCTTCCTGGTCACTGACGGGAGCACTGGTCGGCGTGTAGTGTGTGTAGACCCCAAGATGGCGCTGTTCGCGCCTCCCGTCCACCACTACCGATCAGGTGGCCGGCCTGGGTGCCCCCCCGGCGGGTGGGAAAGGGCGCAAAGCTCCGTTTCATTGCCTACCCCTGTAGTTTTGACATAGTGTCTCTGGGACTCTGATATTCTTAGTCTCCTAACATCGAAGACGTGAACATGTCCGTGCGGCACGCCCCAAAAGCGGAGTTCCAGTTGGGGCGCGCGGGGGGGGGGGGGGGGGATCTAGGGCGGCGCGGCCGCGGCGGCCGCCTCAGCACCTCTTTCGCGCGCAAACGTCTGCGCGACGAGCAGCGGCAGCAGCAGAGTCGCGTCGGCGCAAACCTTGACAGGGGTCGCCTCTGGCCGCACCTGGCGCGCGAGGGCGAGGGCGAGGGCGTCGAGGTGAGGCGGCGGTGCGCTCTCCGCCACTGCGCGCGGTGCGTGTGCGCGTGCGCCTTGCCCCACGAGACCGCCTCGTCGGGCTTGGCGCCCGAGTCGGAGCCGTCGAACTCCTGCCCTGTGTTGACGAAGACGGCGTAGTCAGCGCCGTTGCGCATCAGGTTGGCGTTACAGATGTGGTGCTTGACAAGGCCGCCGCCGCAGATGAGCATCCCTGCTCGCAGCGGCGACACGTGTCACGTGGGCGATCTCGAGCAATCTCGGGCGATCTCGGATAATCTCGGGTGATCTCGAGTAATCTCGGGTGATCTGGGCGCAGCGCCTCCTCGCCGCCGCCGAGCGCGCCACACAGCTGTGAGCCGCGGGGTGTGGTACTGTGGTGCTACTGTGCGCCGCGGGCCCCTCTATGTTTGCCATGGTGCCGCTATGCGTTGCTGGCGCCCTCTGCGCCTCCTAGACTGCCGCCCGTGTACCCGCCGACGATACACGACCCCGGAGCGCCCCGTCTCGGTCTCGCCATCGCGGGCTCGGTAGTGGGAGAGCTCGCCCTAGGCCTCGGCATGGCTTGCTAGCCCTAGGCCTCGGCATGGCTTGCTAGCCCTATGTTGCCATGGTGCCGACCAGCCGCGGCGGAGGGGCGTGCGGGGCTTCTCCGCGAGGCGCAAGGCCGAGCTCGTGCGCGCTCTTGCGGGGTAGCGTGCACGCGAGGGTCTCTGGTGTCCGGGGGCACGGAGGGGCCGACGACGCTATGCGTTGCTGGCGCGCCCGTGCGGCGCGCGTCGACCGCCATCGAGTTGATCGCGCGGATGTCTTGCACGAGGTCGACGACGAGGCCCGGCCGCTTGTACGAGTGGAAGAAGAGCATGTCGCCGATCGAGCCGTCGGTGATCGCCGGGCAAAAGATCGGGATGCGGTTGCGGTTCGCCCAGTAGCAGATGGAGGACGCGTCGTCGATCTTCTCGCCCATTCGCCAGATCATGCGGCTCGGCGAGGTGGCGCCGCCGCTCGCCTCCTGCTCGTCCATCAGCGTGTCGAGCAGAGGTGTGAGCCTGGCGTCGTGAATAGAAGAGCTGTGAATAGAAGAGCTGTGAATACAGAGGTGTGAGCCTGGCGTCGTGTGTGCACCAAGTCAGGGTGGTGCGAGGGTGTGGTAAAGTGCAGTGCGCAGAGCGTGGTAAAGTGCAGTGCATACCAACCAGCGCGCCAATGCAAGGGCTAGAATGCGATGGAAGAAAGTGCGATTCTCCCCGAGGGGGGTCGGGAGACAGGGGTGCACGTGACCCGCATCTACGACCACCCACCAATCCTCAAACAAGCAGTAGTTGCGGTTGGGCACCAGCAAGTTTCCGATTCGGTTGATTCCCTTCTGCCGCAGCTCGGCGCCCTTGAGCGCGAAGCCCTCCACGCCGCGCTGCGAGCCCAGGTAGTGCGGCGCGAGGCACTTCATCAGGTCCTCCTCCACGCCGCCTGCCGTCGTCACCAGGCACGAGACTAGCTTGTGTTGCAGCAAGTACCGGATCGACTCTCGCGTGCCCGCAGAGATGAGGTTGGAGGTGCAGCCGAGGAAGATGGTGGTCCGCACCTTGGCCCGCTCGGCCGGGTCGCGGATCTCCGAGTCCTCCTCCGAGCCGGCGACGATCCCCTCGGGCGGCGGAGGCGCCTCCTCGTCACTTAGGCGCCACGCCAGCATCCTCCGGACCTCCTCGACGGCGAGCCCAAAGTTGGTCGCCTGTGGAGCGGCGGCGGCCACAGCAGTCACAGCGGTGGCAGCGGCGGCGGCAGCTGCGAAACGCGTGAAATCAGAGAGTGTCGGCAGCGGGGGCGGCAGCAGCGGCGCTTGGCGGCGCTGCCTGGAAGCCGGTGGTAACATACGACTCGAGGAGCGCGGCGAGGTCGACGCCAGCGTCAAAGTCGTAGCCGCGGACCTCGGCCGAGCCCGCAGGCATCTCCTCGGACGCCTGGAGCACCGCCGCGGCGGCAATGTTGGGTACGCTCTGCTGGCTGGTCATTTTACAGTCGTACTGCACGAGCGTGCGGAGCCCATGCGAGTTTGCACGGGTCTGCAAGAACGATAACTACGGGGAGTTAACCAGACCCCCCCCTGCCAGCCAGACACGCGCAAGTTCTGGAATGGTCCGGTTACTAACTCCCACGATTCGAAGACTCGCGGCGGGCGGTGAAACGAATCGGTCGTCCGGGCGGCTGATTGAGCTCTGGCAGCCTCGGCCCGGGGCATGGAGTATGCGCATCTGGATCAGCATGAAATCCAGCTGCCGCAAATATGCTACACACTGGCCGCCACACTAGCAGCCAAAGAGCCCGGCACCGTCATCTCGGCGATGTGGGGCGCGGCGGAGGCGGATTCCAATCCCCATCTGATGCAGCACTGCACGGCATGCATCGCGGTGACGTTTATGGGCGCGGGCGCCCGCTGGAGTCTCTTCCGCTATGGCGCGTCACACGCGCTCGTCGCGGCATGGCGTGTCCACACGGCTTGCGCGGGCATCGAGGTCGCCGTGAAGGTATCTCAAGTTACGGTCGCAGCACTTGCAGCGATACGCACCTGCGCTGGAGACGTCCTGCTCGGCGATGACACCCTTCTCGCAGCCGCACTGCACGACATGTGCTACTTGCGAGGTGGTCTCTTTGGCTGCCCCCCCTCAATCATCATGGTGCTCAACATCATGCACCAAATCTGCACCACGGACGTACGGGCTTTCTTGACTCCTACGTCGTCCCTCCCTCCAGCGAACTTTGTGAAGCCGCCTATGGACCAAGTTATGGACCTCGTGGTGCACGCCATTGAGTTCCTGTGCAACCCTGACATGGTGGACAATGCTGATGTTGCGAGGAGCGTGAAACAACTGACCATGCAGCTTGCTATCTCCATGCGGGAGATCATCAGCAACGGCACCGTTTCCTACCTAATGGGCGAGCATGGGAGTGTGCACGTCTCCACGGCTGTGGCGGCGTGGCGGTCGGGCTCCGCTCACGTCCTAGGATACGTGCTGGCGTATCCCGCTGGCGGGGGCTCCGACATATCCAGTCCGGCGAGGGCTCTGACTTACCACACCTACCTCTTCCAGCCGGGAGGCACGTACCAAGTGCGCTCGCCGCGGTCCGAGCATTTCGGAGCCTCTCTCTCCGAAGCACATCAGCTGAACCCGAAGGAGAGCAACCATTGGGCGGCAAAACATTATGCGTACCCGCTGCCGGAGCTATGGCCGCGCATGTGCCTGCGCCTTGTGGGTACCGGCATTGCTCGCCCCCCCCCCCCCGCCCCCCCCGCCCCCCCCCCTTTTGACTCCCCCCTCCGCCCCTTAACCCTCAGTCGGCGCCAACCACGCTCTCGGCAGCGGCGGCGGCGGCGGCGGTGGCGAGGGCCACTGAAAAGGCGGCAGCCACTGCGGCAGAGGCGGCGAGAAGGGCGGTGGCGGGACGGCTTTTGTGTGCATTTTTTTGACACCCCACACGGACACGCGAGACGCGTGCATCAGTCAAGAGTCATTACGATTTGTTGCCAAAAATACTCTGAGCTTTTGTTAGACACATACATACGTGCTCGGGACGACGGCCATCAGCACTGCCCTCGCTCTCTTGACTCTCCCCGGACCCGCCGTGCAGGAGCGAGGAGGCCGCCGGCGCGCATCAAACGGAGACACGGGAAGGCTGCCGCAAGCCGCCTCCGGGTGCAGGGGCCCGACGCGGTGGGCGGGGGCAACGGCCCGGTAGCTGGCCGCGCCTCTCCGCCCCGCCCGTCGCCGCTGCACCCCTTGCCGCGGCCCTCGTCGCTGCTGCAGCGACGACAGCCGCGGCACGAGGTCAGAACGCGGCCTCGGAGAGCTCGAGCGAAGGCGCCGACGGTGGCAGCCGTGGTAGTGGTTGATGGTAGAAGGCTCCTGAGCCGTCGGGCACCACGCTCGACGTCGCCGAGCAGCCGCACCCGGCGCGAGCGCCTGCGCGTCGGCGGGTGCCACAGAAGGCGGGTGGGCAGCGCCGGGCGGGGCGGCGGAGCTTCTCGAGGCGCGCACGTGCCCCGCGGGTCGTGCGCCGAGGCAGACGGCCGAAGAACCGGTGGCGGATCGCGCCCTCCTTCGCCGTGCCGCGTGTGCGCCGACTCCGCTCGAGAGGCCGCAGAGAGCGGCGCGGCGCAGCCGATCCGGGCGACGAGCGTGCGCGGAACCGACCGGACCCGTCAATGTCCACTATGCGGGCATGGCCAGGCCGGCGCGGTTTGGTCTGGCGACCTACAGGGCGCCCTCCGCGGTTATGCCAACGAAAGCCAACGAGACCGCCCGGCCTGACCGGTTTCCTCACATGTCATTCTTTTTCTCGCATGGAGACGCAAAGCCAGAGGTGCGCCCTCGGGCTTGCCCGCCTCCGGCGCGGCGACGGTAGCTATCACGCCTTCTCGACCACGGGATCGAACGCCGGAACTGGTCGCCGGAACTGTCTTTTCCGCTTACTTTTAAGAAACTGGGCCGGCCCGGCACAGGTGGTTTTGGTATTTTGGCGAAGAAACCTTTTTCTGCTCTGTGACTTTTGGCTTGGCCGCTGGCGTGCGCGAAATGCAACTTCACGCTTCATCTCCATCCAGGACCCTTTGCGGAGACTCGGTCGTGTGTTTGCTCATTGGGCGCTCAGCCTCGCTCGAGACAGCAGCGGCGTGCAGCACCGAGCTCGAGTAGGCTGCCGAGTGCGATGTCCACTCTGCCAAAGTCTCCGCCGTGGTGCAGCGCTATTGAGATGCGCCACTTCTTGAGCACCTCCTCTCCGGCGCTCTCGTTGCCGTTGCGCTGCTGCGGCTCGCCGCCGGCACCGCCCACATCGCCACCCCCCTCACCGCCGCGCGAGCACGGCGCGCGCACCGAGCTGTCGCGTTGGTTCGGACGGACTGGGTGTAAAATGAGGCGCGGCGCGCTCGAGGGCGGTGATCGCTTCCCCGCATGGCATATGACGCTTTAGTTCCCGCCGCCACCTCATTTTTAGGCGCAGCTGCTGCGGCTCGTCGCCCGCCGCCCCGTCGCCGCTCCCCTCGCCCGCGCGTGGCGCGCGGACTCAGTTGTCGCGACGCAGCCGGCGGCGGCTCTCGGCGGCGTCTCTGCGGCGTGTAGCGCCGTGCTAGGTCGCCGGTGGCCGTCAACCAGCCCGTCGCTCTCCCGGCCGTGACCCGAGTCTCGGTCGAGTATATAGGCGGCGCCGAGCGGAGATGCTGGGTCCACCGCCGCGAGCCGCGCGGCGGCAGTCGCGACGCAGCCGGCGGCGGCTCTCGGCGGCGGCTCTAAGGCGCGCAGCGCCGTGCTAGGTCGCCGGTGGCCGTCAACCAGCCCCGTCGCTCTCCCGGCCGTGACCCGAGTCTCGGTCGAATATGCAGGCGGCGCCTCTCTCCGCCAGCGCCGCTCCGCCGGCGCCTCCCTAGGTGCGGGGCGAGCGCGCCGCGCGGGCCAGGCCGCCGTGCTGCGCAGCGGCGCTGGCGCGAGTCGCTCCTCCGGGCTGCTGGTCGTGCGTGCGTCGAACGGCGTTCGCCCACCTTTTCGGTCCCTGCGGCGCGTATCCCCGCCGGCGCCGCCCAGCGACGGGCTCCGTAGGCGCAGCATGAGCGCGCCGCGCGGGCCAGGCCGCCGTGCTGCGCAGCGGCGTCTTATTACGCGCGCATGGCGCGAGTCGCTCCCGCCTCCCGCGTCCCGGTACGACCTGACGCACTATCGACGAGCCACTATCATGATAGTGGCTCCACTGTGTGCTCTAAGTGGCTGAAAACTTGATCAATTGTTTTTTGAGCCCCTACGCCCTCGGGACGCGCACCGCGCTACTGCTCCCGGGCCAGGGGTGTAAGGGAACACACTAGGGCACACCAGGGCCGGTCTAGCCGGCCTTATCCCGCCCACAGCCTTCGAAAACGCACAAAAATCGCACCGCCGGAGCCGCGGCGAATCGCCGCCGGAGGCCGCGTGTCGCGCCACCGACGGCCGCACGTCGAACCCCCGGCTCCGCGCCGCTGCTCCACCGCGCCGGCCATCCAGCGCGCACCCCCCAAGCTGCTGGTGCCCTCTTAAAGGGCCACAAAGCCTCGAAAGGAGCCGTCGACCGTCACCTAACAGAGGGGTGTCGGCCCCGGGCTCGCCGCTCTTGCGAGCGGTCGGCGGCGTCTAGGGCGGAGCCAGCGGTAGTAGCGGTGGTGCCGGCGTGTGCCGTGACGGAGGGGGTGGCGGCGGGGCGCGGACGGCGGGGTGCGGCGGCCGAGGCTCGAGCGGGGGGGCGGCAGCGGTGGCACCATCGTCGGCGGAAGTTCGACCTGGCGGGTGAGAGGTGGGAGGCGCCGAGGGCGGAACCGCTGCGGACGCGGCGAGGTTGGAGGCGCAGAGGCCGAGGCGGCACGGGCGGCGGCGCCGACGGCACTGCAGCGCCGGTGCAGCGCCGGGGAGGGCGGCTGAGGTGGCGCGGACGGCGGTGGCGAGAAGGCGGGCGGAAGCTTAGACGGGTGGTGGTGGAGGAGGCGGCAAAATCACGGGCGAAGCGCCGAGGGGGGCGGCGGAGGCGGTGCACCAGCGGTGGGGAGGGTAGCTACGGCGGCGGGGTAGCGGCCAGCATCGCCAGGGGGGGCGGGAGGTGCCGCGGGTGCCGCACGGGCGGCGGCGGCCGTGCCGGTGATGGCGCCTGGGAAAGGGGAGGCGCGGGTCTGAGAGGCGGACGCGCGGGCGGGAGAGGTGAGTGAGACCACGCACGCGGCTGCGGTCGCGTCGCGCCGTGCGGGAGGGGCGCCGGCGCAACCACGGCGGCAGCCGAGGCGGCTCATCGCGCCGTACAGAGGCTCCGGGGAGGCGCGCGGTGCGGCGGCGCACCGGTGGATCGCCGCGGCAAAGTGTAGCCGAGGCGGGGCGGCAAGCGCCCGAGCCGGCCGTTGGGGCGGCGCCGACGCCGCCCAGGATGCCGTGGGCCGATGGTGCGGAGGAGCGGCCGCTCCCCCTCTCGGGGCGGCCGCAAAACCTGTGCAGGAGCAGCACCCCGAGAACGCGCCTGCTGGGGGTGAGGCGCAAAATGTGAGATTGCGGCCGCCGCAATGGCCACTTTCTCCCTCCAAAGTGCATGTGCCTTGGGAAGGGGGTGCAAGCACACCTCCGCTGCTCGGAATATAGGGTCACCGGACTCGTTCGCGAGCGAGCGCGGGTAGACGGCGGCGTGCGCAAAGCGACGGCTCGCGCGCGACCGCGGGCTTGCGCGTCGGCCGTGCGCGGGCAGAGGGTGCTGAGGGGCGAGTGGTGGCGGTCGCTCGCCCGGGCAACCCGCGCGCGGGCGGCGCGCCGCAGCGGGGAGCGCCCAGGGGCGCGGCGCGGCTGGCTGCGAGTGGGCGCTTGACATCGTTTTTGAGGAGAGATAGCCCAAAAATATACCCGGGTACCGCCGGATCAAGCACACAGTGGTCGATAGTGCGTCTTGCCCGAGTTTCAACACTCCATCACTTACTCGGTCGCCACCGCCCGACGCCCCAGTTGTCCCAGCCGCTCGGTTTGGGATACGGTTGATCTCGGCCCACATTGCGCGGCAAACCGGCGTTCCGGCGGGCGTTCGGGCGCGCGGCTTTCTTCTTTTGGCCGAAATGAGACATCGAACACTACACCCGGTGGCGGGTCCGGATACATGTATCTCCAAGGTGCAAGGAGCGGGCCGCGCCGCACCCAATTTTCACCCTTCCGGAAGGCTTCCGGAGCCGGCTGCGCCGGCTGCCGCCGGCCTCCGGAACCCCCTCCGGAAGCGGCGCGGCGCGCCGCTTCCGGAGGGGGCCTTCCGGAGCGGGCTGCGCCTGCTCCCGGATTCCGGAGCCCGGTCCGGAATCCGGAAATTTTCTTAAGACCCAGGCGCCCGCCGGTGCCGACCAAGATCGGCGGTGTCCAGATGAAGAACGCCAAGGCCAAGAAGAAGCCGGCGCTGAAGCTGCCCGAGCTTACGTGCGATGAGCTACGCAAGATCCTGCGCATTCGTTGCAAGCTCGTCCTGAACGACTTCGAGAAGAAGTATGATTTCAGGTACACCCGGGAGGAATCGGAGAAGCTCGCGCATCAGGAGCGTGGCGGACGCAAGTATCTGCCGCCTGAGGGATGGGCGAAGCTCGCCCTGGCCGTCAAGGACAAGTACGCTAGCAACAAATGGCTGAAGAAGGAGTCGGGCTGGCCGGTCGTGTATCACGGCACGCGCGCGCGGCCGTGCATTGTGCGCGGCATCGTGCGCGAGGGGTTCAAGATCAGGGGCGGCAAGGAGACGGCGCACAACGGCTCGCGCTACGGCCAGGGCGTCTACTGCACGCCCGACCCTGCTTACGCAGTCCATTATGCCAAGCAGCAGAAACTTGAGACGTCGGAGCATGACGATGAGTTCCTTGTCGTCTTCCAGTGTCGCGTGGAGCCTGATAGCTTCACTGTCGAGCGCGACACCAACGACGACAACTCCAGAGCAATTTGGCGCGTCGCGGACCCGACGAACCTCCGCCCATGCGCCGTGCTCATGTCCACCGTTGCTCCTTAGTGGCTGCCCGCGCAATTGCGACGTGGCATGTACACGTGTGTATATGCGTCCCGCGCGCCCCCCGACAGTTTGCGAATCCCTGGCGAAACCATGACATACAAACATAATCTAAGGTAAGGTAGCTCCTCAAGGCCTCGCGACTCCCACACGTCTAAAAGGCCCGGGGTGTTGGGTGAGCGGTGTGGGGGTCGGGGGGGGGGCATGGGCCATGGGGGCATGGGGGCATGTGTGTGTGTGTGTGTGTGTGTGTGTGTGTGTGTGTGTGTGTGTGTCTGTGTGTGTGTGTGTGGGGGGGGGGGGTGCGTGCGTGCGTGCGCGCGCGCGCGTGTGTGTGTGTGTGTCACGACAACACACTCGGGCCGCGGCGTCACCAGTCCTCGTCCTCGTCCTCGTCGCTGAGGGCATTGAGCTGCTCCAGCAGCTGCTTCTTGATCTCGGCCTCGAACTGCGGGCCGCTCGCCAAGTCGGAGCGCAGAAGGGTGTCGACGAGTAGCTTGTCCTCCAACTACGCACGGACGGGCGATGTCAGTTCAGAAAGGTGTCGACGGGCGGCGTGGTTGAGGTACTGCTCGCACAGGATTGAGCTTGCCGCGGGTGGCCGCGGCCCGGAAGCGGCCCCTCATCCCTGCAATTTTGCCGATCTCTTGCACGACGCGGTAGTCGTTGAGCTCGCCGTTGCGCATCTTGAGCCCTCTGATGGCCCTTGGTGCCTCCTTGCGGCGCCGAACAAGCATTGCCCGAACGACATTCACCCTGACCGTGTCCATCTTCGCATCCGCCTGCGAAGACAGGCACTCCTTGAGCGGCTCGATGTGTCCCCCGGCCTGGACGAGGGTGCGCACGGTAAACCCGTCAAGGATGGACGTTGCGGCGAGCTCGGGCTCGTTGGTGGCAGCTGTCGTCATATGTGTAACGATGTCGAGTAAGAAATTTTGCGGACTCTCCCAACCCCTTCTGTTCGGCACAGGCGTCATCGAGTGCGGCGCTCACCACTTCTTCAGTGTATGTAGCTCTTTAGCGGCTCCGACTGGGTGATTCTAATTTTTCTCTCTCCGTTGTGCGGCGTTGCTTGCAGGCTGATGGGTGATGGCGATGCCGACGAAAAATAAAAACAAACTTTTCCGGGATCGTCGGGTGAAACGTCGGTATGGCCAACACGGAGGAGGCCGAGGCCATATCCGGCACTGCAGCGGCAGTGGAAGGAGCAGAAGAAACCGTGGAGCTCACGTCAGGCCAGCGCCCGGAGAGCACGGACATCGTGCAACTCCTCAAGCCGCGTTTTTGCAACGTGCTGGCACATGGCGGTTGCCATGTAAACCTACACCGGGGAGGCATCCGGTATGTGCCAATGCTGGTCGAAGTCTCATCTTCTCCCATTCGTCCGCATATTCCTCCGCTGGTCACCGCTCAGACGAGAGGGGAGAGGCTGCCGTTGGACGTTGAGGCAGCCGTTGAGACGGCGCTTTGGTCGGCAGCGAGTCGCACAACCTATGGTCCTTGGTCGAATTGATGAGCGCGAGGTGCGACTACCCCAACAGGGGGATCCTCGTTGTTGAAGGCACCATTCCGCACAACAACGAGGCGAGCGCTCGGAGATGCCATCGAAGGCACACCCTGTTTCACTGTCTTGCTGTGCCTAGGTGGTGAAGCGAGTAGCGGAGGAAGTTGAGGTCGCGCTACTCAAGCTGTACCCCGGCAAGACGCCGACGGAGAAGGTGGAAGAAGAAGAGCAGCAACTCAAGCGGGCGATGGCGGCGAGCTTGGAGGACTGCGACCCAGTTGCCCAGGCGGTGCACGAGAGCAAGCGGCAGCGGCACGAGCCGCTGGAGTGCAAGCTGTGGGGCATGACAGCTCCTGAGCGTCGCGATTTCTTTGCCACGAGAAAAGAGAGCGAGTGCATCGATTAGTTTATCTCTCGTGATGTGCGATATGCGCGCGCGTGTGACTCCTTGAGCTCGATGTGTCCCCCGGCCGAGGGAAGTGACGAGGGCGTGTCGTAACCCCCTGGGTTCGGTTAGTGGGTGAAATGGTAATTTTGAAAGTCGCTGTCCGTCGGGGTTGTACTGGGGTAGGCCACATGGTGGCGCTGTCTCCGTTTCCGCGCGCTTGGCACGTTGCATGACCACAATGCGGGATTGCGTTGTGACGCGGCGCTTCGGCGCTGCGCTCGCGCGTTTTGGCGGAACGGCGGGGAGACGCACAGTCCACAGATAGGGTGGTCCCAGTGAAGCCGCTCCGAGCCTGAGGCTAAATTCATTTTTGTGTGTCGTCGATCTTTTGGAAAGTAAAATCTCTCAATGACTTGGATCTCTCCGATCGGCCTGCGCCCCCGGCCGGCGGTGGGGGTTGTGGGGGCTACGCCCTATTAGTCATAGAGTACAGGTAGGTAGGTAGAAAGGTGAAGAACACGCGCAGGCTCGGACTGGACACCAACGCGGTACAGCCACCGTTACCCACGCGCAAAGAGAAAAGGTTTTCAAAATCTTGCGACGCACTCCGGCCACCCGGTGGCCAACTGTGCTGGCACCTGTCATGCCGTACGCCACGCGCGGCGAAAGAGAGCCCTCAATCGACGCCGCTACACGCACCGCGCTAGCGCTAGGCAACTACCGGCCACACCGGACATCAAGCTCCTCGACTCGATCTGCGGCTACGACGGCGCTCTAGCTGCTGGCTCTCGCGGGTGTCTGGCGACGCCGCTCCGGCTTGCGAAACGGCCGGCCGCGGCAACGTGTTTCGAGCTCGGTGGTCTTCTCCGCGCGGCTGGGCCCGCTACTATATAGCACACGATCCGCCCCCTCGCTGGCCGGCTCGTCCGCCATCCCTACGGGATGTGAGGGGCCGCTGTTATGCAATGCTGACCCACCGAGATTTCGATGTTGCCCGCCGTTGCCTCTCCAGACGACGGCAGCGGCGGGCAAGAGAGCCTTCAACGGACGCCTCGACACGGGCTGTGGTTGGAGCAACCGGGCGGGAGGCGGGCGTGGCGCACCAGCGGCATGGCTGCGAGCTGGCCGGCCGGCTCCACGGCACTGTGACCGCGGTGCTCGCTCTCGCGGCCGTCTCACGACCCGCTCAAGCCGAAAACCGGACCGGCCGGTGCGACGCACCGCGAGTGGGATGGTCTTCTCCGCCCGGCTGGGGCCGCCCCTAGTCGGGGCCAACCCGCTCGGTCACTGGGCAGCGCGTGCGCCGGCGTTCTGGACGACGGTGTGCCGATGCATCCGGGAGGCTCCGCCGGGCTGCTCTAGCAGCCTCGGGAGGGTCGAAAATCGAAGCCGGAGCAGCGGACCACGGAAGCTCCACGGACGGTGAGGCGGGCTGTGGTTGCCCCCCCCTGACCGGGCGAGGGAGTGGCGCCCCGGGAGTGCCGCTCCGGCGACGTCGGTGGCATCCACGGCACCGTGACCGCGCCGGCCTCGCTCGGGAGGCTCTCTTTCGGAGCCCTCCTTAGGGGACCCCTAGAGGGCCGAATTTTTTTAAGACCTTTTAAGAAACGAGGAGGTTTGGGGGCTTAACTTGCCATTTAAGAGATTGCAGGCACGGGGGGTCCCTCTGTTAAGACCGTTTAAGAAAATCGGCCTCGCCGGCATGCGTCTCGGCTCTCGCTGGGTTTTCCGCGCCGTTTTCTCCAATACTGCCGTTATTAGGCACAAACCCGCCTCTGAAGACACATCTGTAAGTCTGGTGCACTGACAGGAGCCATACTCGCATAGGGGACGCGTGCTGGCTGACTGTAGCCAGCTTCCCGGCCTACGGCGTCTACCGGGAGCCTCCCGGACCATCGACCTCGGGAGCTCTCCCGCACCGTTTAAGCGTTTAAGACCGTTTAAGGAATTGGCGGCCCAGCAGCTCTTAAAACTTGCCATGGCAAGTTTTAAGCCGTTTAAGCCGCAGGCGCCCCAGGGCCCACCCTTTTAAGCCTAGGGGTCCCCTAAGGAGCCCTCGGCCTCCGAAACCGTCGCGTTGCTACGCCTGGACGGCTTCGCTGCTCGCCAAACCCGTCGGCACCGTTCATATACACATGAATTGTGAGTGAACGCGCATTTTTCTGATATCTTACTGAAATGTTCCCGAATGTTAGTTCGGATCTCGCCCCACGGACACAGTACAGAGGCGCCTCGTGGCACGGAGAAGCGACTAAGAGTCGCCGACGTGCGAGTAAGATACCAGAAAAATACGCCCGGAATCACAATTGATCCCGTCGACAAGGCGCCCCAATCGCGGAGGCGTGGGCGTGGAGGCGAGCATCGACGCCTCGACGGTGCTCTTCAGAGGCCGAAAACAGGCGCCTAAAAAAGGAGATAACGCGAGACTGATCACGCGCGCGGAAAAGCCCGAGGCGCGAATCCAAATTGCCGAGGCGCTTGCTAATCACCCCAGCTAGGGCCACGGAGGCGCTCGCGGCAGGTCTCCGCGCGCGCGCTGGCCGGTGGCAGCTGATCTCGGGCGGCGGGCGGCGGGATTGGGCTCGGGCGGCACCTTTTGCCTTCAAAAGTCGTTCGAGAGTACCGGGTCGCGGCGGGAACGCGCCCATCCGCTCAGTGGAAGTCAGGAGTCGATCGCCTGCGCCACGAGCGAGCACGGGAGTCGTCGCGATGGGAGTCGTAGCGGCGTGGCGCTGGGCTTCGAGAGCCGGACATGGGCGCGGCGCGGGCGGCCGGTCGGGCGTGTGAGGTCCGCACCTTCGCGACGGGCAGGCTCGATACGGCCGCTGGCCGGGGCGGCCGCTCGACCGGCCGCCGCGGTAGTGCCGGCGGCGGCGTCGGCGTCGGCGTCGCGAGCGAACTGGCTCGCATTCGACTGAGAAGAATTTGACATGGGGCGCAGACCGCGGGTTATCGCCGGCGGGCGTGTCGCTCCCTCCCCCGGTACGCGACCGACGCACGAACGACGAACCACTATCATGCCCTGTCTACCCTTATCCCGCGCTTTGAGTTTTGAAAAAACAAAAGGAGGCACGTGTGGAGGCCGGTGTACGCGATTCGGTCACACGCTCAGCACACCAGTTACCACAATCCCACGCGCCATGAGCGGAGCAGACAGATGTGCTAGTGTGGATTGGACCTTCGCCGCGCTCGCCCCCGCTACAAGCACAATAGCCCCAACACACCGCGCTCACGGCGAGAGTGTGCTACGTGGAGTGTGCTGCGCGGAGCGGTGGGGCTGTCATGGCGCCGCGTGCGTCATCCGGGAGGATTCCGCCCGGGACCGCTTCCGGCCGCCGACCACCGCCGCGGTTTGCGGATCGAGCCCAAACTCGATCGTCACGGTCGAGCGGCGGCGAGGGTGTAGAGCCGCGTCAATGCTTGCCGTATGGCGAAGGTGCCGCGCCTTCGCCTCAGCGTCGTCCCACGCATCGCGAACTTTCTTGATGGCCGGCAAGACGTGCTCCGACAGCTTGCGGGAATAGGTCTCGTACGCCGCGAGCGCGTGCCACGACCACGACGTCGCCGGATCCCCGACATGCTGGCTAACCATGTACTTGAAGTGGTCGATTTCGACCGCGGCTTGTGCGATGATGCGCTCGATCGCTTGTTTCGCCTGATGGCGATCCCGACCATACTCAGACGAGGTAAGCCTGGGAGGGGCTACGGGCTGCACTTACATCGAAGAGCGCGCACTTGATGTAGTTGTCGCCGCGGCGCGGGACGCCCTCGAGCACCACCCCAAATGCGGCGCACACGCCGGCGTGCAGGACGGGAAGGCACGCATCTGCAGCGCCCATCAGGTTGGCGAAGGAGGTGCCCCGGGGCGCAAAGCTCTCAAGCATAGCCAGAATGTTGGGCACGGTCTTGATTTGCTTGAGCAACTCAACGAGCTGCTTTGGCTCGACACGATGGAGCGCGTCTACCTTTGTGCACGGCACGGGGCGCGCCTTGAACGGGGGGTCGTCACTCTTGTCCCAGGTCGGTTCCGACTCTTCGCGCTGATGCGCAGTGGCCTTTATCGCTCCTCCGGCCAGGAGGGAGAGCGCTGCATTCTTCGCCCTCTCGCCGCGGCGGTGCTCCATCGCGGATGCGGTTACGCCACCGATTTCCCGCAATCTTCGAAGCCGAAAATATAGTACCTGGGCAAGCTGAATATGGTCCTACAGGTGGGATTTATCATTATGGCGCTGGTGGAATACATCACATATGTGAACTCCACGCTCTTGGATGGCTATGACGGCGACGGCTGGGACCCTAGCGGCATCGAACATTACGGCGACAACTACTTTGGGTTCTTTGTGCGCAAGTCATAGATCATACGGGCCCACACCCGACTATTTCTCTGCGGGACCGCCGTATCTAACAGCCTCATTCGAACGCAGGTGGGCTGGGCGGGAATCCTGTTCTCCTTCGTATTCATCATTATCACGACTCACGTCTTTGCGTTACCCGTACTCTTGTACAACGATAAGTCACGCGTTGAGAAGGAGTTCGAGGCGGCCGGCCAAGGTGAAGCTTACGCGCGAGCCCGGGCAGACAGCACCCGGGTCTGACGGCCCGCGACAGCAGGCTGACACCGGACCGTGATGTCTGATAGTGCCAGACAATCTGACAGTCTGGCTGGGTGGCTGACGGAATGCTCCCTCGAGCGCGGGTGCCAGAGAGCAGAGTGCAGAGAAGCTTCTAGAGGGAGATACTGTCGATCGAATGTGCAGAGGCGCGGCGGAATGAACAGGCGGGCGGGGGGAGCATGGCATGAGGCGCGGCGCGTGCGCGCGTATCGCCGCCGTCGCCGCCAACCAATGTCCGACGCAACCAGTGCAGAGCCTGGCAGTGCACCATTGTGGGGGGCCGCGTGCGCTAGGAGGCCAAAGTCGTGATCGCGCGCGCACTGGATAGTAGTAGTGTTGAAGGTGAAGAACAGCCAGGCTCGGACTGGATGTGTCCACGCTTCAGAGATTTCTTTTGCCCGGCGGTCGAGGAGTGCATGGAGCCCTCGCAGGAGTCGCTTAGGCGGTGTGCCTGTGTTAGTGCCAGTGCGCGCCATTCCCCTGGGCGTAAAATTCTCTTCCTGCCACTTCTCGGCGACTTTGTAAAATTCTTATGGGCGATCGCTGGCGCTCGTTGGGAGGCGGCACAGAGACTGTGGGCTGCTACCCGGGCACGGTAGTACTACTCAAAGACAATTCATTAAGCCGCAGCACAAGTCGTGCAAGCCCCGCAGAGGTGCGGGCGAGAGGGCGGCCCGAGCCCGAAAGGGCCCGCCCTCGGCCTTGCTCTACATGGTAACGGATAAGAAGAGAAACACCCCCGGACCGGGACGCCGGCGGTCGAGTCGGGACACGCTGTGGTTCAGACGCAAGTGACTGAGGGCCAGTGAGGGCGAGCCCATCGCTGTGACAGCTGTGGCAGCCGCACAGTGGGCTGTGCCATCTGTGCAGAGTGTGTGAGCAGCAGAGGAGCTTCACTCCAGGAGGCGCAAAGAGCTGCATGCCACCGAAGGCGCTGTCGAGGTTCGCCAAGCGCGGCGCAGGTTGGGGGACACCGTCACCGACGAGCGCGTTGGACTTTTCACTCCGGACAAAGCCGGCTACACGCACACGAGCTGCGGCCGTGTCGCCGGCCGTCATAGCGGCGAGGCGCGGGACCGTCTGTGGCGAGGTGGGTCGCGTCCTCCGATTTCCGTCAACTCATCATCCACACCCTATAACTCGGAGTGTGCTCTCTCCAGGCACCAGGCTCCAGCAAAATCTCTCCTTACTCTCTTCTCTCACACAACATGCGAAGAATTTTACCACGGTGAACAGAATATCTACACTAACCCAGCGCCCAGGCCACTGCGTGGACGCGTGAGTCAGCCGGTTGTAGCATGGCGGCGCGAGGTAACGTAGGCCAAAGCAGGTGGCCGTGTCACCCGGGTATCGCCTCGTGCGCATCTCACATCGCAGACTGGCCCGCGAGGCTGATCCAGTTGCTATCACCGCACTCGCGCGGGCTCAGCAGAGCGCAATGAGCGCGTTGAGGTGCGCCCGCAGGTTCATGGCCGCCGGCTGGCTCATGTCGCGCGGCACGCCGATGCGGTCGCGCAGGTAGATGAGGCACGCCGAGAGGGCCCGCCCGCCGTCGGCGCCCTTGACAGCCGCCAGGTCGGCCTCGGCCGCGGCCGCCGTCTCCTCGGCGCCGCTGATGAGCGCGGCGGCCACGTGGCGAAGGCACACGTCCACCGCGGCGACGGCCTGCTCGTTTGGCGTGGCGTACGGATCGGCGAGCGGCGCCTGTGGGCGCGGACAGTGGCGACAGTAGGAGAGGCGACGGATCGGCGACAGTAGGAGAGGCGAGGAGAGGCGAGGCGAGGCGAGGCGAGGCGAGGCGAGGCGAGGCGAGGCGAGGCGAGGCAAGGCGAGGCAAGGCGAGGAGAGGAGAGGCAATGCGAGGCGAGGCGAGGCGAAGTGTGAGACGTGTCGGCCGTGTAGAGAGCAGTCTCCCTGCGCGGCACCTGGAAGCGCTTCCGGCCGGGCGCGCCGGTACCGCGCGCCGCAAAACGCACGACGGCGGCGTGGTTGGCAACGAGCTCAAAGGCGGCCTGCAGAGAGGCCTCCAATATGTCACGGACGGGCCCTGCACTTGCCAGCCCGGCGAGAGCTCGCCGGGCGGCCTCGTGCCGCGCCGCGGCGTCGCCCAACGCCGCCTGCAGCGGCGCCAGCGGCTCGAACGCCGACCCTTGCAAGTCGAGCGGCAGCGACCAGCTGCCGCCGCGGCCGTCAATGGCGGCAGCGGCCTCTCGCGCCTACGTGATGACACGCCAACATCAGGGCGTGAATGCGGCATCGTGCAGCGTACTCAGAGAGCACCGCGTGAATACACGGGCTACGAGTACAGTGGAGACTGTCCTCAGAGCACCGGGCGTGAATACGAGGGGCGACGAATGCAGCGAGTACCGCAGAATACGGCCGAAGACGGCGGAGTGCGTGTCCTCTCGAGCGCTGGTTGGACGACAGGAATGCGCAGTCCGCTTCTAGGCTCGTGAGGGGCGGTGCGGTGGATTGCCTGCAGGTACCGCTTGAGGGAGATAGGGGGAGATAGGGGGGAGATAGGGGGAGATGTGGCCTCGTCGACGGAGAAGCCCGGGCCGTACTGCGGCGGGATGTCCATCACGTGCGTGTAGTAGTCGCTCTTGGTCGCTAGGTAAGCGGGCCGCTCCTCAAAGGCGGCGAGCCACGCCTCGAGGTTCGAGAAGCGGCCGCTGCCGCGTATTTGGATCCCCTTCCAGTAGAGGGCCGACGCGAGCATCCGCTCGACATGCGACACGTACTGCAGGTCAACCAGCGTGGGGTGGTCGGCAGAGTCGAGGAACCATGGGCCGGCCGACTCGCCGAGCGCTTCGTCGACGCGCCGGAGCGTCGCCATGAAGGCGCGCTCGTTGCGGTCCATCAGGCCCTTGCCCGGCTGGAAGGTGAGGCTGCACCACGCGCCAAACAGCTCGCGTTCGAGGCCGAGAAGCTTCGAGGCGCGGTCGCGCTCGGGGCCGGGCGGCGGGACCATCCTGTTCACAGCCAGAGGTGTGAAGAGACGCTGTGCACAGGTACGGCGACAGCCACCAGCTGCGCCGCTCGCCTGTTCACAGCTGGAGGTGTGAAGAGACGCTGTGCACAGACACGAGCCCGTCCGACCCCTCCAGCACCTCGGCGTCCCTTCACCGCTGAATGTCTGGTCCAGCGCCTGCATGATCGGCAGGCTGTCCGTCATGAAGTTGCCGTCGATCTCGATCGCCGGCAGGAGGCCGTTGGGCACCTTGTCGAGGAACCAGCGCGGCTTGTCGCCGTAGCTCCGCATGTTGATCTTGTCGAGCCGGTACGGTATCCGCTTCTCCTCCAGCAGCAGCCACACCTTCTGGCAGTACGGGCACCACGCGGCAGTGTCGCGGAACAGCGTCACGCGCACCTCGCTCTCGGACTTGGCTCCGAAGAGTCGCAAGCGGGCGTCGGTGTGAGGCGGGCCGAGCCCCTTTGCCTGCAGCGCCCGCTCCTCTCCCAGCATTTCTCCAGCCGGGGTCGCAGCGACCGCGGCCTTCAAGTCCACCCAAGAGGGGGCGGAGTCGGCTGGCAGCGTGACGGCTGCGCCGCTGGCGCCGCTGGCAGCCTTCCCGCCGAAGAGATCAGAGATGCCCATTGCAGCTCGCCCCGAGCGGAGCGCAGGAGGCCGAAGGACACCAGGAGGCCCACAGATGATCGCGGCGAGCATTCCTGTCTCTGCAAGAAATCCGGCAAAAACGAAAATTTCCTGGAAAACTACTTTTTTGCCACCAAAACAAGAGTCGTAACCCTCTGACCCTGACCCAATCCGCCACACGGCCCGAGCCCAAGCAATCGGCACAAACCGAAGCATTCAAACAAAGGAGGGGCGACAGCGGTGGACGTGAGAGCGCAGCGGCGTACATCATCTCATCGATGGCGACCCTAACCCTAACCCTAACCCTAACTAACCCTAGCCCTAACCCTATACGGAACCCTACTCCCTTAAAAAGAAAGAAAACACACAACCCAAGGGAGGGATGGGAGAACGGTTACCCTACTCCCTTGTCTCCCAAGTAGCTAAAAGTCGTCATAAAGAGAGAGAGAGAGCTATAAGTACTTTCGAAAAGCCCGAAGTAGATCGGCGGCGACACTATGGATGTCAGCAGCCCGCCACCACCTCCCGCGCAGGCAGCGGTCATGCTGCCCACGATTGAGCAAGCCGCATCGCTGTCCGGCCTGCTCGCGCACGCGACACGCGTGGCCGATGAGGTGCACTACGCCGCCCTTCACATGCGCGTGCATTGGAACGTTATGGGCCACATAGGCCAGGTTCAGCCTGAGATCGATGCACTGCTTGAGCTGCTGCGTGAGCGGCGGCGCTGGAGGACGATCTGTGAGGTAGGCTTCAACGCGGGACACTCTGCGCTGCTATGGTTGCATCACACCAAGGCACAAGTCCACGTCTTTGATGCGATGTGGTTGGCATGGTCCAACGCCTCCGAGGCATGGCTGCAGGCGCAGTTCCCAGGGCGCCTGACATTCCACCGCGGCACTACGCAGGTGACGCTGCCTGCTTTCGCTAAGGACGTGCACGCAGGTTGCACGCCGCGCTGTGACCTTTGGTTTGTTGACGGCGGGCACGACGGCTCCACTCCCGCACATGACCTTTGCTTCGCCTACTCGACGGTGGCGCCCACCGGCAAACTCGTTGCTGACGATTGCACGACTCGGTTCCCAAAGGTCAAGGGCGCGTACAGCGCACTCGTGCAGCAGGGTCTCGTGTGGAATGTCACCGAGCGTAATGCCACCATGAGGCGGCCGGCGGGCCTCAAAGGGTGGTGCATCTCCTCCCCAGTGAGCATCTCCTCCCCAGTGAGCATCTCCTCCGTAGCATCCTCCTCAGTGAGCAGCCAAGCAGGACGTGGCAGACGAGAGGTAGGCAGCGGTTGTCGCAGCCCGCTGTGGATCCCCACTCAACATCCCCCACACACTCTCCACGCGACGCTACATGATCGCCCCGGCGGCACTCGACGAGCCCTTCCCCATCGACGGCATCGTCCATCATGATTATCGGGTAACGGCTCGCATCCCGCACACCCGACGTCAGCTGTAACCGTAGTACTTCGGCCTGGAGGCCTTGGGTGCCTCTGGTTCGCGCTCGAATTCGGAATTTTCTGCATCCTGGATGCTCGTTTTTCAGCTCGCTGCACGGCATAGCAAATCTCACGAAGTGTAGCATGAGCCATGAGCATGACGCACGATAGGATGACATCCCGGGACAGCGGAGTGATTCTGAGGTCAGGTGAACCACCTTATCATGAATAAATAAATAAATAAAAACGGACACCTCTCTACTGTGAGATGGGTAAAAAGGAACAGGCCCCCGCCCTTGCGATCTTTGTGCAGGGTTCTTTGTGGGTGTGGTCGGCGACTAGCCGGGGTCGTCCTCCCGATGGGGGACTAGCACTAGCCGTCTTCCACATGGTCCCTCGGGTCCCTGCTGCTCCTAATCTCTTCGTACATCCTCCTGCTGATCTCCGCAAAGTCCTGCTCCCTCCCTCGTCTCACCCTGCGCGTCTGCTCCGCCTCACCGTCTTCTGCCCTGCATATCTTATCATATCATGAAAAACACAGAAGTTTTTGTATTTTGTTATTGCGCACATGCACGATGCATTGCTGCATTCTGCGGACGCCCTTGGCGAGCCACACCAACCTCACCAAGCACGCCTGGAGTTTGGCAGGCACCTGCGGGTCCGGTTGTGATCCTCACCCTTCCGTTTGACACCCCATCCAAGCAAAAAGGCATGGGGTTCGACATCGAGCTTACTCTGGATGTGTTCAACAAGTCTCGATGACGACGGATGCGTTTGTGAGCCAGGATATCCACGACATATTGCGCCACATTGAGTATGAATGCGTTAAATGACCCGCCCGTTAGGGAACCCTGCCGTGAGTGCCGGCATTATAATGGCCTCTTGCTTCGGCACACCCCTGGGTGTTTCTCAACCCCCCCCCTGGCCGTTAAGATATTTATGTTCCTTCGTCCGAACTTGAAATCTAGTCACCAATAAGGATTAAGGTCCTCACCCGTAGGGAACGCGAACGGACGTACGAAACGGGCGCGCGTCACTAAAAGTTCGGCTTCGGGAGTGGGAGACCACTTCCTAGCGGTAGTTTTCAACGAGGAATTGCATGGTGACATCCGTTTTTGCTCATTTTGACGCCCTGGTACCGTACTGACCGAATGCGGTCACAGCAAAAAAAACGGGCCCTGTAGCTGAACACGGCTACATGTACAGTCGCGCACCGCACGGGCCACGGCTCACGGGGTTAGGACGTTAAAAAGTTCACCTGCGTCGCGAGACACCACGCAAGGGGGCACCAACGCGCAGCCCACACGCACACCCATACAGCAACGCGGCCAAAGGATATCCACCTCGAGAACCTCGAGATACAGAGTATACAGACGAGAAATCGCCGAAATTTCGCGGCACAAGGTGGAGAGCAGCTGGGGCATGCGCCCTGCTCTCAGCTCCCTCGCCCGCTCGGGCCAGCGCCTCTCAGCCGCCGCGCCAGCGCTGCGCGGCTTCACACGCACCGGCTTCACCGTCTACACGCGCACCGGGGACAAGGGCAAGTCGTCCCTCTTCAACGGCGAGCGGCGGCGCAAGGTGCCTCACCGCGCCCGCACAGCGCCGCGCACAGCGCGCTCGCAGCGCCCGCTCGCCGCTCGCAGCCCCGAGGAGGAAGCGCTGCGGCTTCACAACAACTAGCGACCATCCACCGTGCTCGGGTGAGCGCCACGCTCACCGCTGTCGCGCCAGGACGATGTGGTCTTTGATGCGCTCGGCGCGGTCGACGAACTGAGCGCGGCCATCGGCCTCGCGCGTGCGCACTGCGAGGAGGGTGCGGCGGGATGCACCAAGGAGGAGGCCGTGGAGGCGAGCGTGGCGCCCGCTCCCGGCCCGGCTGGCCTGCGGTGGCTGCTGCCTCAGCTCGAGGGCGCACAGCGGCTGCTGCTCGACGTGGGCTCTGCGATTGCGACGCCGCAGACCTCGTCGTCGGAGAAGCACCTGCAGCGCGTCGGGATCGACGGCGCCGCCGAGGCGAGCGTGCTCGAGGCGTGCCGCGCCGCTCTCCGACTCCGCTCCCTGCTGTCTTCTCCTCCGCACTTTCCACCACACCCTCCACCAACCGCTCACACCGCACGTTGCCACTGTGTGTGTGTCGCACTCCCGCCCCCGCCACAGCCTCCGCCGCCGCACACCTCCACACCTTGGCGCCAGGCGCGCATCGACACGATGGATGCGCAGCTTCCTCCCCTCACCGTCTTCATTCTGCCGGGCGGCGGCGCGCCGGCGGCCGCCCTCCACATGTCTCGCGCCGTCTGCCGCCGCTCGGAGCGCTGCGTGGTGCCGCTGGTTGAGGCAGGGGATTGCCCGGCCGAGGTTGGTGTCTACCTCAACCGCCTCTCCGACTACTTCTTCGTAGCCGCGCGGTACGCAGCGGCGAGCGCAGGCGCGCACTCCCCTCGCGCCACGCCCTGCTGACCTCCGCGCACCAACACCCACCCTCTCGAGTCCCCCGCCGCCGAAGCGTCTCGACGCCTCGGCGTCTCGACGCCCGACATGCACGTCCCGCGCGTAGGCCACGCCGAGGAGCGTCGCGGCGACGACAAAGCGGGCCCGGCGACCGGACGGGTATGACGCCGCGATCTCGCGTAGAATTCTCGCGTGGTGGGCGGCGTGGGCTACCCGCGCGCTCTTCATTTTTTAAATCAACTGCTTCAGCTCTCCACAGACGCACCTCGGACCTCGCACGTCTTCTGGTCTCCTGGAGGTGGGTTTCACTGTGGACGAGGCACGGCGGGCTAAAGGGCGGGTGTGGACGGGGGGGGGGCCGCTGCGTTGACGAAAATCCGGGGACGCGACCCACCTCGCCACAGTGACGGCCACACGGCCGCAGCTCGTGTGCGTGTGGCCGTCTTTGTCCGGAGTGAATACTCCAACGCGCTCGTCGGTGACGGTGTCCCCGGATTTCGCCGCGCTCGGCGAACCTCGACAGCGCTTTCGGTGGCATGCAGCTCTTTGCGACAGAAGCCTGGAGAGCAGCTCCTCTGCTGCTCACACACTCTGCACAGTTGACACAGCCTACTGTGCGGCTGCCACAGCTGTGACAGCGATGGGCTCGCCCTCACTGGCCCTCAGTCACTTGTGCTGCCGCTTGTGTGAGCGACACTGCTCGGCGACTGCCGGCACACTGTGAGACCATGGGTGTGAGGTAAAACCACGCTACCAGCGCTTGGTCACATCGGCCCCGAGGTCAGATCCATCTACTCTGTTGATGACAAGACTTGTCTACCGGCTGGAGCCGAGCAGGAGGGCCCGGCGCACAACCCCTTGGAGTCACTCAACCTCCGCACCCCGTAGTAGGGGTACTTTTTATAGACACCGAACGTACTGTGGGCTGGGTTTTTCTGTGTAGCCCGCCACTTTTGCTCCTCGCCCGAGTCCTCGTCCAAGTTCGAGTAGTCATCCTCTTCGTCCTCTTCGTCGATCTCGTCGAGCCAGCTCCTGCGTCCTGGCCCGACGGCGACGCCCGTGACGCTGGGGCCGACTTGCTACGCGCGCTGCGACCCGGACCGCCACCTCTGCTGCCGCCTGTGCTACCCGTAGTCCTTGCCGGCGAGCGAGTGCCTTTTGCGGGGCTGTCGCCAGAGCAGGTGTCGCCACGGCCGTATTCTGATCTGTTTTGTGGTCTGGGGCTCTGCGGGCGCGCTGCGCTGCGCTCGCGCCACTGTAGCTCACCAATGGAGCTTGCGCTGCGGCGCAATCCACAGGCGCAGTGGCACTGTGAGGCATTCTCCAAGCACGGTCTCTGGCGTTGCAGCTGCACAGAGAGAGCAATAGTCGACAGAAGCACTGATATGTGCGCAGCGGATCATCATGTTGGTCGCGCCCTACGAGAGGACAACCACGGGCCGCGGATGCTTGTTCGGACGCGGACCCACCGTGCGAGTTGCAGACCCGGAGGAGGCCGACCCAGCTCATCCGTAGAGGCCATGCCCAAGGCAGGGGGCCTTTTGGCCAAACTTTTACTACTAGCCACAGAACTTGGTCAATGACACCTCTCTATCGGTGGAGGGCTTTAGGTCACGGTACACACTCCCGCCCGCTCCCGACCCCTCCACACCCCTATCTCATGGTCTTTGCTAGAGCTAGGTCGGTCGGGGTCCCAGAGTCGATTTTTTTTCAAAGTGAATAGTACGGTTGGTACAGATATGTCCCGCGCCCGCATGCTTGACTGTCTGACCCGGCGGCCTCCGCCACTGCGTGTGTGCTTGCGCAGCACATCACCCTCTTCTTTCAACAACCCACCCGGCCCGCCCTTGTCGTTGTGTGTTGGGGGGAATGATTGGTGTGCGAACTTGTGCCTGCGGCATCACATGCACTCTCGTCCGTGGCCCTTGGCTGTCGTCCGGTGTGCGTGTGTGTGTCCGCCTTGTGCTCGCATTCTTGCGAGCACAAGCTTCCCCCATTTCTTTTTGTTTTGACCGCGCAAGATATAAAGGGTGTCCTAAGGGCTCTGCTCGCAAGGCGCCCGCGTCGCAGACGCGGTACCATTCGTTGCAAGCCTTCAGCTGGTGCCAAGACATTCGTAAAATTGAAGCCAAGAATCGCCAAATCCGTGCTTTCGCGCTACCTGAGGGGAAAGCCGCTGATCGAGCCCAGCGTGCCCGCGGCCGCCTCCCGCGCAGCACCGCCGCTGCGGAATCGGATCGATCCCATGGAGGAGGAGGGCGCAGTCGGCCAGCGCAGCAGGTGGAGTCCCTCCCCGCGCCGGAGCCCCCCTGCAGTCGAGGGAGTCCTCGTTGGCGATGAAGGTGGCGACATCGAATCGCGGCCGACACACGTCACGTGGGAGGAATGGGCGATGAGCGGGAACGATGCGCGCTACGACGCCGACTCCGCCGTGCTCGTGGCCGCAGAAAGCCGCGCTCCAGGAGCACGCCAAGATGCAATGGCTCGCTTGCTTCGATTCAGCTCTCTCGGCAGCAGAAGTGGGGCTGGAGCGGGTGGGGGTGGATGCCGATTGAGGGGGAGCGTCTCCAGCTGCGCCCTGTGGCAGCTGCGCCCTGTGGCAGCTAGTCGAGGGACTCGGTAGTTGTGACCCCCCTGAGTGAGGACAGGAGAGAGAGAGCGTTTTCGGTGGTGTTGGTGTACGCAATAACGGGACAGGGTGGTTGTTCTCTCTATCTCCTCTTCTAGCTCTTAGCATGAGCTGCGCCCGGTGTCCGACCCCTTTTGCGCAGCAACACCTTAAACTTTTAGGCCCTCCAAATTCGGGTCGGAGCGTAGCGGAGAGTGGGCCCCGAGTTTGAAAAGGGCGACGGACGCTTGCGTCCTAGCCTCCAACAACGCCTCCCCGGCGCAGAGGGGCCCCCGGAGGGATGCACAACCGCTCCACGCCACGCCGCTTGCGGCGGTCCTCTTCCCAGCTCCGCTGAGGGCTCGTTATTTCTTTTGAAACAGTAAAAAGTGGGGTATTGTGCCGCAAGGCGAACACCACCCGGTCTCGTCACTCCACGGGGGGGACGCCTTCCTCCGGCTCACCCATGCTCAAGCTCTTTGGCAAGTCGCTCTCCAACGCCGCGCCAGGAGGGCTGTGCCTTGCAGGACGCCTCGGCGGAGCTGCGAAAAGACCGCGAGGTGGTGATCGAGGCCGTGCGCCAGAACGGTTGTGCCTTGCGGCGCGCCTCGGAGGATCTGCGAGAAGACTTCGAAGTGGTCCTCGAGGCCGTGCGCCAGAACGCGAGGAGACCGCGCGGTTGTGCTCGAGGCCGTGCGCCAGAACGGCTTGTCCTTGAAGTTCGCGACGGACCGGCTACGTGGAGACCTTGATGTGGTGCTGGAGGCCCTGCGCCAATGCCCAGAGGAAACCGGGCTTGACCCATATGACCCGCCGGGTCGGCATGGCGTAGGAGATGTTGCTCGGAGCTGTTTTGGCTGAGCTCACCAGCTCTGCAGTCCATGGTTCGAACTCGGCTTCGCGATCGCGGAGCGACGCGGGCGCGCGCGTGTGCGACTGCGACTGCGACAAGACGAGCCGGGCTGGCGGCGGCGGCTGCGGCGGCGGCGTCGAACCTTTTGTAGCGGTCATCGAGATCGTAAGCGGTGACGCTGACACCCGGTTCGGGCGAGCGTGGTGCGTCGAGCCAGTCGCAGCGCATCCACCAGGGGGGTGCAGGCTTTGCTGGAGGCAGAGCCTCAACAACAAGCCTGCATGTGCCGGGCAGAAGCAGTCCGGCGGCCTCGAGGTGAAGGTCGGGGGACTCGTCCGCCTCACGAGGCTCCATGTCGGCGTATACACGCCGGCCAGGAGCGGGAGCGCCAGAGAGAAGCCAAAAAGCATAACAAGCAAAGGATCTCTCTAACGCCGCGGTCAAAAGAGACCGACGGACCTTGAATTTCGGCGGCGCCGAAATTCACACAAGACTGTGAACACACCCACAGGACGCCGAGTACAAGACAATACGAAGGGAATGTACTCAGGCAGTCAGGGACGGGTGAATTCAAGAACATACTAAGAGCACCTAAAGGAGCAAGGCATAGCTGTGAAGTGGTTTCCACTGACAGTCTCTCACCGGCAGAAAAGACATGGCCGGCGGCCTCACATCGAACCAGAAAGCGCTCTTTGGCCTGGCCGCGCTCCTCTGCGGGCCTGCGCTGCTCAAGAGGTTTTACGAGAAGCCGAGCTCAGTCGACCTCTCATCGTTTGCCGTCGTCGCGCGGCCGGCAATCGAGCGGCACGACTCGACGGTTCGGATCGAGTTCTGCCGCTCCTGACAGACGGCGGGCGCCTTCCGGCAGTGCGCTCTCGCGCTCCAGTCGGCGTTCCCCGGCGTGCCCATTGAGGGCGGCGATTACACACCTCCTGTGGGCGTGCAGTACGCCATCCGTACCGTGCGGGCGGCGCAGGCGCTGGTGGCTCTCAGCTACTTCTTCGGAGAGCAGGCGGCGGCTGCGGTTCGGCGGCCGACGCCGCGCGCGGTCCTTCAGATGCACGATAATCCGATGCTCGCGATCGGCGGCGCGTTCGCTCTGGACGTGGTCGCGCAGACGCTGCAGTCGATCAATGCGTTTGAGGTAACCTACAACGGCCAGAAGCTGCACTCCAAGCTTGCCACCGGTCGGATGCCCCAGCCGGTGGAGCTGGTTCGGCAGCTCGAGACGATGCGCGCAAAGGAGAAGACGCGCACGCAGGGAGCGGCGGAGGCGTCGGCGCCCAAAGTGCGCATCGAGTAGGACCCGGTGGAGGGAAGCTGGGAGAGCGGGGCACCCCTCTGGCCGGCTCGCGCGGCCCGTGGGCATGACGCTGCCCGCCACAAGCCCACGCTCGGGTCAGCGGGCAGCTGAGAGCCGGCGCGGGTCGCAACCACGCGACTCGTGGACGGGCCGCGCAGTCGTGAATCGTGCCTCGAGCGAGAGAATATTTCTTCTTGTATATCGAAAAAGCCGTGTGTGGTAAAGAATTTAAAATAAAAACTTCAAGTGCTCCAAAAACGTCTACTGTGAGATGGGTAAAAAGGAACAGGTCCCCGCCCTTGCGATCTTTGTGCAGGGTTCTTTGTGGGTGTGGTCGGCGACTACGGCCGGGGTTCGTCCTCCCGAAAAGTCCCGATGCGGCGATTGGGGGACTCTAGGCCGAGCGTTTTTGATCTCTCGGTCAGTGGGCGCCCGCCCGCCGCCTCTGAGGGGGTTGGGCCCCCTAGTCTGAAAACAAAAACAAACTCGAAGCAGCCAAAATCAGCCTGCGAGAGAGGCACTGCGCGCCGCTGACCTCATGCGGGGATGTGTGCCGACACCAATACTGATCTAAAATCTGGAAATCCTTGTTCAAAGCCGACCCTAAGCGCCATCCTTCCTGCTCCCACCTGATGCTGCTTCCCCGCGCCGCCTCCTTGGCCCCCTTGGGCGTATTTTCTACTCCCAGTGGGGGGCCTGGGCCCCCGGGCCCCCTCTTGTTTTCTGTTTTCTGTTTTTCAAAACGCCCGCCCGCCCGCCACCCCGAGGCGGCTCGGCCCCCCACTGACCGAGAGATTAAAAACGCTCGGCCCTAGCAGCCACTAGCCGTCTTCCACTGACATGGTCCCTCGGATCCCTGCTGCTCTTAATCTCTTCGTACATCCTCCTGCTGATCTCCGCAACGTCCTGCTCCCTCCCTCGTCTCGCCCTGCGCGTCTGCTCCGCCTCCCCGTCGTCTGCCCTGCGTCGTCTGGCGACGGGTCCTCCATAGTCGGTCGAGGTCGCCGCCCTCCTCGTGCCTCTTCCCAACATTCCCTCGGCGGCCGATGCCGTCTGCTCCGGCTCCCCAGTCCCCGGGTCCGCCCTGCTCTCGTCTGCGCTAGTTTCTGTTTCGTCATCACCGGCGTCTCTCCTCTTCCTTCTCCCCTTCTTGTATGCTTTGCACATCGCGTCGATTCCTTTTCGCGCGAGCCCCACCCTGAAGCCCGCCCAGCAGCTGAACCGCTCCCTAAGTCGAAGGAGCATCATCAGCCTCACCCACTTCGCTCGCTGGGCAGAGGGGTTGTCGGGGCTATGTGATATTTGTGGCGAAAACGCTGACTAGCTGTAGCGTCCGGCGCTTCCGACCCGCGTTGGAGCTCTTGTTCCGATCCCACTCCCTTTGCTGCCCACTCATGAAATCGTTGGGTCGCTTCTTCAGTTCACCCCCTGACTTACCCCCTGTGTGGACCCGCGACAGGCGAGACACCCTGCTTCACCCCCCGCGATTTCATGAGAGAAGAGAGAACAAAGGGAGTGTTCCGATCCCCGTTCCCGTTCAACATTAACACCGGATCTTAACCGCGGCGCATCAACGCGCGATCAACGCCCGCATCCGTGTTCCTCCTCGCTCTGATCACTCGGCCATGCCAAGAGCGGCCGCACACTGCTCGGTACCCCCCCTGCACTTCTAAGCCCATCCCTGCTGCTAGGGGGGGGGGTCTGACCCCCCAGCAGCAGAGCGCTGCTGCTGGGGGGGGGGTCCCGACCCCCCCAGCAGCAGAGCGCACTGGACCCAGCTCCCGCCTCCCGCCGCCCCCCCTCCCGCCCCCTCGGCTCGTGTTTGAGCGGTATACGCTCGAGGCGGTTGTGTTCACCGCGCCTTCGAGCCCAATACACCTTCGTGCTGTCGAGTGCTGGCGTTTTACTAAAGACCTGTGACCATCTGAGTCTATCTTGTTACTACCACACGCATAGCTCAAGGTCATACAAGGGTATAGTGAGCCACTCACTCGGGCGTCTCGCTGACGTTGATCGATCAGCGCTGATCTCCCTAGCCTATCGGCCACCCGCTCGATCCTCGGATCGCTCGCTCGTCGCAAATCGATCGACTGAGCTGTCAGCAAGGGGCTGCCTTTCCTTTTTTCGAAAACGCGCGCGCGCCCGTCGCCCGGCAAAACTGTCAGGTCCGCCGCGACGCGTCGCCGCAATGGCGGGCAGCGACGTGGTGCAAGCCATGCGGCTCGCCCTGGACTGCCCCGCACAGCCCGGTTGGCAGTAGGAGGCCCCGCCGGTGAGACCACTGATTTTGATGCCGACCATAAATTCTCGCAACTCGAACGCATGCTACTTACAGCTGCTGTCTGTACAGAGATGCCAGCACCCCCCAGCAGCAGAGCGCTGCTGCTGGGGGGGGGGGTCCCGACCCCCCCAGCAGCAGAGCGCTGCTGCTGGGGGGGGGGTCCCGCCCCCCCCAGCAGCAGAGCGCTCCTGCTGGGGGGGGGGTCGGCCATGGGCTTAGGTGTGCAGGGGGCGTACCGAGCAGTGTGCGGCCGCTCCAAGCTAGGGCTGGGTCGAGGTACGAGGACAGACACCCACGTCCCCCACCTTTGCAGGATTTTGCAAAAGCGAGGGGGGGGGGGGGGGGACAGATATCCATCGACCACCTCTCTGGCGATGTGAATCGTCCACCGCTCCCAGCCGTGCTCGCCGAGCATCAGCCGCCGCCGCCGCCGACGCGCCGACAACTCCTGAAAGGCAGGCATCAAAATGTCGAGGACGGAGAGCATTGCTAGAAATCGTACCAAACTCCGGGAGCTCGGTCAGGGGTAAGATCGGTAAGTAAATAAAGAGATGTTAAGTAGGACCTTCCTTAGGTCCGCCTCTCACTACTCACACCCTCACTAAGAAGAAAGAAAGAAGACATACAGCGCAAACAAAGGAGGGATGGGAGGACGGCACGCCGCCACCACACAGGGATTTCACGGGAAGGAAGGTGTGTTGCTAGCCGTCGCCCACCCTTGCTTGGGCGCCTGCCTCTTCCTATCTCTCACTGTCTGTCTGCGATGTCCGCCTTTTGTTTCTTATCAACCTGCGTGCCCGTGTGTGTGCCAGTCCGCGCCAGTGCGCGCCCTTGTCGTGCCAGTGTGCTGTGAGAGAGGCTTGTATTTTTAAGAATTCTTATCAACCTATCTGTGAATGTGAGACTGTCTCTGTGCGATTTCGGGCCCGAACCTCTTTTCGAATATTTTTTCTCAATAACAAGGCTGTGAATGAACCTCTCATAGACCAGCGCACAGCGCTAGGAGGTATTTTCCGTGGTGTACCTGTGTTAGTGCCAGTGCGCGCCAGTCCTGTGCCCAGTGTTGTGCGAGGGAGTTTGGTTCTAAAATTCTTCTCAAAACATGGCTGTCTGTGAATGTCGGGCCCGGGGTTGTGCGGTAATGTGAAAATACCTGTATACCTCCTATGTGAAGGCTCGCACCTCAACCTCTCACAGACCAGCGCATAGCGCCATAGGACGTATTTTCTTGTCAATAACAAGGCTGTGAATGTAAACCCGACTTGTGCTCAAGTGCTCAAGGCTGTGAATGTAAACCGAGAGAGACTCTCTCTCTCTCTGTGAATGTAAACCCCAGCCAGGCTGAATCGCTGTGGCCGACTGGATCGCTGGGAAGTATGCCTCCGGCTCTCGTGCGGCGCAACTCGCACAGCCTCGTCAAGGCTCCACCGCCGCCGAGCGACAAGCGGCGCGTCGTCTCACAGGCTCCTGCCTCCTCCGCAGCTCGCCGCATCCGCGACGACGACGAAGGTGCTGCCGCTGACGCCGGAGCAAGCTCCGCGCGCCCTCCCCGCCGCGTGCTGGTCCAGCGGGCGGTGGCGGGATTTGCGCGCTCGGCGGACGGCATGCAGATCACGCGGCTGCACGGCGCCGCCGGCAGCGCGCCTGGCCCGCCGCGGCTGTCGGTCGACTTTAAGCGACGGTGCTCTCCCGTCCACGCCTCGGGCCACAGTCCCGCCCGCCCACGCCGCGCGCACCCTGCTCTCGCACCACGCCCGCTGCCCGGGCCCTCTGCCGGCATTCAAGACCCTGCCCGCGCTCGCGAGGCTCACCGCTCGCGCGCGGCCGGCACCCTGCGCCCAGGCGCGAGAGGGACCAGCGCGAGGGCGTGCGGCGCGAGGAGCTGGCGCGCGTGCAGTGCTTCTCCTTCTCCAAGACCGGCTACTGCAGCCGCACCGGGGGAGAGTGCGGCTATGCGCACGACCCGGGCAAGGTTGGCATCTGCCAGGCCTTCCTGCACGGCACCTGCACGGCGCCCGAGGGGTGCTGCGCGCTCTCGCATGAGCCTAGCGCGCACAACATGCCCACCTGCCGCCTCTACCTCCTCGGCGTGTGCGACGCCGACGCCGCCACCTGCACCTTTCGCCACGTGCGCTACGGCGACACCATGCCGTGCTGCCCCGCCTTTGGGAAGGGTCGCTGGTGCGACCGCGGCGCCGCGTGCACCGCGCGGCACGAGATGTGCTGCGACGAGCACGCGGCGACGGGAGTGTGCCCGCTGGGGCAGCGGTGCAAGCTGCGCCTGCAGGGCGGCGCCGGCGCCGTGAGGAGACCGCCCGCGTAATCTCTTACTTGTGAGCCATTGGAGGACTCGATCTCCGAGCACTTGGAGCACTTGGAGTGCAGTCAGTAACCGCACATCCAGGGCCGGGGGGCTAAGAAGCACTCCCACGTCGAGGAAATTTTTGCATCAAATTTTTGGAGAGCGCGGAGGACGGCGGCGACTCGATCGACTTCGGGGTCGTGGAACGACTGAGCCGTGCCCACCGCCCTCGCCGTGCATGCGCGCGACTGCATGGTGAGAGCAGCAGCCAAGCCTGGCGAGGATGCCGTGGGCAGGAGCGGCCGGGTCTATGCTGGGAAGTCGCTCTTCCTCTTTGGCGCTCGGAGCACGCCACGCAAGCAGGCAATCAGCATCGTTGAGTCGCCACTTTTCGACCCGTTCATCCTGCTGGTGATCCTCGGCAACTGCGCCTTGATGGCGTGGAACTCGCCCTTGGATCCGCCCGGCACGCAGAAGGCTGCCTTGATCGGCACGTGCGAGCACGTGGCGCTCGCAATCTTCACCGCAGAGATGGTTGTCAAGGTGCTATCGTTCGGCTTCGTGCTGGGCCGGGGTGCGTACCTGCGGGATCCGTGGAGCTGGCTCGACTTTGTCGTCGTGATGCTCGGCATCGTCTCTTTCTTCGTTCCCTGGCTCGGCAACTTTTCAATCATCCGCGCCGCGCGGGCGATGCGGCCGCTGCGGGCTCTCAAGCGGGTTCCGGGCATGCCCCTGCTGATCGAGTCGATCATCGCGTCGTTCGGGCAGCTGCTCAACGTCGCCATCCTCTGCGCCCTGTCCTTCATCGTCTTTGGCATCTTCGGCGTAGAGCTGCTCAAGGGCAAGCTGCACTGGCGCTGCGCCGCGCCGGGCTTCGACGGCGTGGGCGACATGGACTTTCCGGCGAGCGACGAGTTTGACAGCGAAGAGGCGTGCAACCCGGACGCGCCGAGCTGTGCCGACGGGTCCCGCTGCGTCTACTTTGAGGAGGACCCGGGCGCCGACACCGTCTCCTTCGACTCGGTGCTCAAGGCGAGCATCTGGGTGATGCAGGCCGCCACGTTCAACGAGATTGCCCGAGATACCCGAGATACCCGAGATGACCCGAGAGTATCCAACAGGCCGCCACGTTCGGCGACTCAATGACTCAGTTCATGAATTCATTCTGATAGGCCGCCACGTTCAACGACTGGACGGACCCGATGTACCTCTCGATGAACGCGTACTCGCCGTGGGTGCTCGTCTACTTCCTGCCCGTGGTGTGCGTCGTCGGCTTCTTCGTCTTCAACCTCTTCCTCGCCGTCGTGTACGACGAGTTCAAGCGCGGCGCCGAGGAGGAGGAGCGCAAGACGGCCGAGCAGTCTGAGGAGGACAGGGAGGCGGCGGAGGCGACCAACCACCCTAGATCACCGAGTCACACGAGATCACACGAGATCACACGAGATCACACGAGATCACACGAGATCATCCGGTAGGCGACGACCGACTCGGCCGAGCCGCTCCTCGTACCGGCCGCGGCCGATCCCTCGCGGGCGCAGTACCCTACCAAACTCGGTGCACAAAACCCAATGAAATGAAATAGGCGGCGGCCGACCTCTCGCTCTGCGGGCGAGTGGCGAGGTCGGAAGCTCTGAACCGCGTCTCGACTGCTCTCGTGGTCCTCAACCTCGTGCTGATGTGCATGCCGTATGCGGACCAGCCGGAGGAGTACGAGAGGGCGATCGACCAGGCCGAGAAGGTCATCTCGTTGCTCTTCATCGTGGAGATGGCGCTCAAGCTGCTCGGCCTGGGCTGCAGCGGCTACTGGAGCGACAAGTGGAACAAGCTCGATGGCACCATCGTGCTCCTCACCTCCGTGGACCTCGTCCTGTCGGCCACGGGGACGAAGGTCGGCGTCAACGTCTCCTTCTTTCGCATCCTGCGCGTCGCGAGGATGTTCCGTCTGATGAGGGCGTGGCCGGCGCTGTACCAGGTCTGTTCGGCGCTCGTCGGCTCGCTCTACCAGATCTCCAACATCCTGATCCTGTTCTTGATGATGAACGTCATCTTTGCGCTGCTCGGCATGCAGCGGCTCCGTGGCAAGCCGAGAGCGCGCGAGAGCACCCCAGAGGACCCGAGGCCACTTGCCGGGTAGGCATGCAGCTCTTCGGTGGCAAGCTGCCGCTCGACGACGGCGAGGTGCCACGGCAGCACTTTGACTACTTCATGCCGGCGATGCTCACCACCTTCATCGCGATGACGGGCGAGTGGAACGAGACCTTCCAGGCTTGCGCCGAGGGCGGCGGCTTCTGGGCCGCCATGGGCTACTTCACCGCCCTCCTGCTGGTGGGCTTCCTGGTGCTGGCCAACCTCTTTGTCGCCATCCTCGCCGAGGCCTTCTCGCTGGACGACGACGAGGAGGGCGGCGGCGGCGAGGCGGAGGAGGCGCGCGGCGGCGACGAGGGCGCGGACGGGGCGCCGGCCGCTGCGGGCGGTATGGTGACCACCGCAGGTCGGCAATCCCCTACCTACCCAGTACCCGAACCCACCGGGAAAAAGAAATACACCGGTGACCACCGCAGGTGGGCAGGGCTGCGTGCGCGACTCGTGCCTCGCGGTGGTGACGCAGCCGTGGTTCGAGGGCGTCATCCTCCTCCTCATCTGCGTCTCCTGCGTCACGCTCGCGCTGGACACGCCGCTGCTCGACCCGGCGTCCGACTTGGCGTGGTGGCTCAAGATGACGGGCGCGTTGACGACGTCGTGTTTCGTGCTCGAGTGTGCGATGAAGGTGCCCGCGTACGGCCTATGGCGTGATCTCCCTTCATTTACCGTGATCTCCCGTGATCTCCCGTGACCTCCCGTGATCTCCCGTAAGGTGCTCGCGTATGGGCTCTGCGCCTACCTGAGCGACGGGTGGAACGTTCTCGACTTCTCCATCGTTATCGTCTGTGTGGCGTCTTCGCCGCTGGTGGTGTCTGCGATCCCGCAGCTCAGCCACCTCAGCACTCTCAAGACGCTGCGCGCGCTGCGCCCCCTCCGCATCGCGGGGCGCAACCCGGGGATGCGCCTCATCATCGAGACGATCCTCAAGGCCCTCCCCGCGATGACCTCCGCGCTCGCGGTGCTGGCCGCCTTCCAGGTGCTGTTTGGGATTCTGGGGATGCAGCTTTTCATGGGCTCGCTTGGTGCGTGCAACCTCGACGAGGAGGCCGACTACGAGAGCTGCATGTCGATGTCACCCGACGAGGACGGCACCGCGCCGGCCTGGGTCAACACGATGGCGGGCTCCTTCGACGACTTTGGGCAGGCGATGCTGCTGCTGTACATCACCTCCACGGGCGAGGCCTTCAATGACTACATGTTCGCGCAGATGGACGTGGTCGGCTTCCGCAAGCCGCTCGAGCGCGACGACTACTCAGCGTACTCGCTCTTCATGATTGCGTGGCAGCTGATTGGCAACTTCATTGCGATGAACCTCTTCATCGGCGCGATCGTCGACAACTTCACCAAGGTGCGCGGCGTGACGCCAGACTCGCCGCAGCTCATGACGCCAGCGCAGGCGCAGTGGGTGAAAACGATGCAGCAGATTGCCAAGAAGAAGCCGCGGCCGCGGGCGCGTCCGCCGAGCAACCCGCTCCGCGCCGCCGCCTTCCACCTCGTCACGTGGAAGCTCTTTGACCTCCTCATCATGGCCATCATCCTCGCGAACGTGGGCGTGATGGCTGTCGACTACTGGGGCATCGAGAACGACCCGCTCGTCTTTTGGTTCTACAACGACTCGAACGACATCTTCATCGCCATCTACTACATCGAGTGCGTCCTCAAGATCGCCGCCCTGGGCGGCGCCTACTTCGCGGACGGCTGGTGCCGCTTCGACTTTTTCCTCGTGTGCATGTCCCTGCTCGACGGGCTTGCTGTGTACGTGCTGCCCGTGCCGCCGACGGTGATCCGGATGCTGCGCATTCTGCGCCTCCTCCGCATCTTGCGGCTGCTCAAGAAGGCGGAGGGCGTGCGAGATCTCGTCATCACGATGGCGCTCTGCTTCCCCGCGCTCGTCAACGTCTGCTCACTGCTCTGCCTCCTCACCTTCATCTATGCCGTGGTCGGCGTGCAGCTCTTTTGCTTCACGGGGCTGGACGACGCAGAGGGCATCACCGAGGACCGCAACTTCGCGGGCGTCGGGAACGCCTTCCTCGTGCTCTTCCAGTTCATCACCGCGGACGCGTGGGGCGACGTGGTCTTCGACCTGAGTGTCACCGAGGAGGACGGTTGCACCGCGGACGGGGCGGCCTTGCCGTACTCGGACGAGAGGGTGTCCAACTGCGGCTCGCCGCTCGCGTCCATCCTCTTCTTCTGCTCCTTCATGGTGCTCGCCAACTTTGTGCTGCTCAATTTGATCGTGGCCGTCATCCTGGAGGAGTTCGCGCTCCTCTCGGAGCAGCGGCGCGACCTGGTGTCGGCGCAGGACGTGGAGCACTTCAGCGACGTGTGGTCGATGCACGACCCGGACGCGGACGGCCTCATCCCCGCCGCACAGCTCCCCCAGTTCCTATGCGACCTCGGCCCTCCCCTAGGGCTCGACCCAGACTACTCGACGCGCGGCTCGACCGTCGGCTCCGCCCCGCTCAAGCGCGCCACGCGCATGTGCGTCCGCGCGGGCCTCAAGCGCCGACCGTCGCAAAACTCGGAGCCACAGCCGTACGCTTTCCGCGACGTCTTCGACAAGCTGGCCCTGCTGAATGCGAGCGAGAAGCTCGAACAGGACGAGACGCGGCGACTTGGAGTCGACGGGACGGACGTCAAGCGGCAGTCGAGCGCCCGCGCCATTCAGCTGCAGTGGATCGAGAACTTGCAGTCTCGAGGGGAACCAGGCTCCGCTCGGTCGTTCCCCGCCATTCGTCATGTGGTGGAGGCCACAGCCGCGAGCCGAGTGCAGGCGGCCGCGCGCGGGAGTGGGGGTCGGAGACAGCTCGAGAGCAAGCGCAACAAAGCCAACGACGAGCACGACGCCGCCGTCCACATCCAGCAGGCGTGGAGGAGCGGGCTGAGCAGGCGGTGGCATCGTATTATCTCAGCGGTCACGCGGAGCAAGTGAAGAGGGGGGTAGGTGGGCAATGGGCTGATATACGTCGTGCATGGAGAAGATGACCCTGTGTCGTGCACGGCAGTGGACAGCGTTAGCGAGCTCTCTCTCGTCCGGATTTAAAAGTCGACTTGTTCTAGGATTTGTGTTGAGTGCGATAATAGTAAATAGATTGGCATAGTGGCTCGGACAGCTCTCTACACGTCAGCCTCAACCTCCCTCTTGGCATGTATGATTGTTTTATTTTGCCATCTATCTCCTCCCGGGCACAACACAGATGCGGGCTGGCGCGCGGTTCCCATCATTCCCACGTGCCGATCCTGCGACGGTGTATCATTCACTTTATGCCACCGTTGCATATCCCTGCGGTGCTCGCGCTGGCAGCTTGGGCACTTGAGCCCCTTCATGTCGATGGGGAAGAGCTTCTTCATGCAGCCCGTGCAGAGCACGTGGAAGCACGGCAGCTGCGAGGGGCTCTCCTGCAGGCTGGTCGCCTCGAGACAGATGGAGCAGGAGAGGGTCGAGCCGGTGGCGCCCACCACGAGCCGCGTGATGTAGCTGAGCTCGGCGCACCACTCCGACGCGGCGGGCGTGATCATCTCGCCCTCGCCGCCGCCGCCCTGCTCGCCGCCGCCATACACGAGCCACGGCAGCGCGAAGGCCGAGCCGATCTCGTTCATCCTGCCGTTGTTCATCAGCTCGCGGCAGAGCAGCATGTGCGCCTCGGTCTGCTGCGTGCGCTGCACATAGTAGAGCGTGCGGCGGAAGGGCTCGCACAGCGTCGAGAGCTGACCCATCCGGTGCAGGTGCGCCTGGTCGATGGCGGGGTCGGCCGCCAGCGGCGTCCAGTCGACCAGCGAGCAGGGCGAGCCCGCCGCTTTGAGCTCGGCCTGCAGCGCCGCACACGCCTCGGCGGAGGTGTGGGCGCACGTGGGGAGCGGCTTGGGGTCGACGGCGCGGCAGTTGTGCGCGTGGAGCGCGAGGGTCTTCTTGCTCTTGCTCAGCCGCACGCCGAGCCGCCGCTTGCCGTCGGCGTTGTAGCTGAAGCACACGCCGTGCTCGCCGTTGAGGTGCTCTGCCTTGACGAGCCCGTGCAGCTCGACCTTGCCGCCATACACGGGCCACTCCTCGCCGGGCAGCAGCTGCTCGGCAGACGGCTGCCGATCCGACTCGAAGGCCAACCGCGCGCTCACCTCGGCCGCCCGCTTCACGCTGTCGCGCCGGTCGGCCGCCGCGTTGATCGCCGCCGCGTGGCGCTGCATCAGCTCGGAGCGTGTGGCCTCGCGCCGCGACAGCTCGCCCCTGAGCGCCTCGACCGCCGCCGGCTCGAGCACGCCCAGCGCGAGCGCCGACTCGCAGAAGCGATCGAACTCGGTGAGCTGCCTCGTCACCGCGGCCCGCTTGCCCATCCCGCGAGGGTACGCCTCGAGGAAGGTCGCCCACTCGAGCGCGTCGAGCGGCGTGTTCTTCTTGGCGGCGAACTTGGGACTCGAGAACTTCCGCGTCAGCCCCCGCCTCGAGCAGCAAACCCACGCAGTCGGCGCCGGCCGAGACCACCGCGGCCATCAGGGGCGTATAGCCCACCCCCTCCGTGGGGCTCACGACGTCGGTGCGCGCGCCGAACTCGAGCAGTAACCTGACGACGCGCGGGAGGCTCCACTCGCTTGCGGCCAGCAGGGGCGCGTAGCCTGCCCCGTCGGGCTTGTTGACGTCGGCGCCCCCCTCGAGGAGCGCCAGGGTGGCGGCGTCGTTGAAGCCCAGCGAGGCCATCAGCGGCGTGAGGCCCTGGGTGCTACTGCCGAAGGACAGCGCGTCGGGGTCGGCGCACGCCGCGAGCAGCAGCGCAATCTGCTCGGCGCAAAGCAGCGCCCCGTCGGCCTTCAGGTCCTGCTGCGTCTCGCGATCCGGGAAGCTGGCGAACCGGACCCCGGCCCGGAGCAGCGTGCCCCCGCCGAGCATCGACCGGGGCAGCTGCGCATCGAGCTCGTCCGGCGCGGTGCGCGGCAGCAGCTCGCGCAGACGCTCCAGGCAGGCCTTGGGTCGGCACACCAGCTCCGCGAGCCCGCTTTGACCTGCAGCCCTTGAATCGTGAACGCCACCTCCCCCTCGGTGACGTTGCCACGTGCGATGGCGTCGGTGATGCCATCGAACATCGCCTCGGTCAGCAGTCCAATCGACAGAAACGCTTGGTCACCGTGTCGAAGTCGGCGTCGAAGTCGGCAAATGGCGGGCGGGCGCCGGCGCCGGCGGCGGGGTGCGCAGCGCCGAGCTTGCGGCGGTGGCCCTCCTCCACGAGGCGCTTGCACTCCGCATTCGACCTGCCGAGGCCCTTGCGGCAGAGGCTCAGCGGCGTCTCGCCATCCTTGGCGAGCGCCTCCGGCTCGGCCCTTGCGCCCAGCAGCAGCTTGACGCAGCTGGGGTGGCCGTTTAGCGCTGCGGCGAAGAGCGGCGTGGCGCCCGACTGCTCGCGCCGCTTCTCGACGTCGGCGCCAAAGGCGAGGAGCAATTTGACCGCCTCGGCGTGGCCCTCCTGCGCCGCCGCGTAGAGCGGCGTGGCGCCGCTGTTGCGCGGCAGGTCGACGTCGGCGTCGTGCTCGAGGAGCAGCCGCATGGTGCTCAGGCTGTTGTCGTACGCAGCCGAGCAGAGGCACGTCATGCCGCCGCCGTCGCTCTGCTCGGAGCTGACGCTCCGCTCGTTGAGGGTGGTGGCGCCCGCCTTGAGCAGCATCGCGGCGCAGTCGATGGACTGCGCGCCGGACAAGGCCATCTGCAGCGGCACCCGGCTGCCGCCGGCCGCAGGCACGGTCCGTCCCGCATCGGGCGAAGCGCGCGCGTCGAGCAGCGCACCGACGATGCGCGCGTCTCCGCGCACGCAGGCCATGCTGAGCAGCGTCGTGGCTTCGCCTGGACTGCACACTTGCAGCCAGCGGGCCTCCGGCCGGCCGTTGAAGAGCAGCATCGCCTGGATCCGGACGCCCTCGGCAGGAAAGACGTCGCAGTCGAGGTCGAGGCCTGGCGTCAGGAGGGGGCGCACGTCGTCGACCTGGCCTTGCGCGACGGCCTTGATGAGCGGCGCGAGGCCCATGTGCTCCCCGTCTTGCTCGGTCGCGACACGCAGGCTTTCTGGCTTGAGCGACAGCCTGTCGCCGTTGGTGAGCTGCACCAAGACCCGGCCGTTTGGCGCGCGTACCGGTCGCGAACGAGGAAGGCATCGGCAGAGAGGTTTGCGCGGCCCGCCGCCTCGCAGCCGCGCACGTGCTCCGCGCACTCCGCGAGCAGGAGGATCGCTTGGCCGGGGGCGAGAGGTAGAATAGGAGCCTGCGGCGGGGCGTCACGCGACGAGGGACGGCCGCAGTTGTGGTTTGAAAAAAGAAATCGGTATACTGCTATGGGGTTAGTCAGTCTGTTTTCTTTCTTTCTGCGCCTACACGGCCGACAAAACAAACGATCTCTCAACGTGCCCCGGGCCGTCTGCAGGTTGCGCCGGGGGTGCGCACCGTGCGCATCTGCGCCAGCATCGACTGCACGATGTCGGAACGACTGCACTCTCCGCTCCTCCATCTTTAGCCTGCGGAGTGCTGCACCCGCAGTAGCGTTTCGGGATCTGGAATGCAGCAAGTCGGAGGCGGCGGCCTCGATGGCGTCGTTGTCGTCGCGCGCCGCTGAGCCGCCGCAGGTGGAGGACCCCGGGGTACTGTCGCGATGGACTTCTGCCGCGACGGGCATACAGCGGTGGGAAGCTGGCGGCGGGCGGAACCCGGCGGGCGGAACCCCAAAAGAAGGGAATCGCTGGCGAGGCACTCCCTTCGTCCTTCTTTTCTTTCCTTCTGCCCGAATTCTTTCTTTACTCGCAGAAGTTGCATCTGCGAGGGACTGCGAGAAGAGCGATAGGAGGAGGCGGACGCCCTAGGGTGGGCGACGGCTAGCAACACACCTTCCTTCCAGTGCATTCCCCCTCTTGGCCTCTGGCCGAGTGCTGCGTGGCTCTCCTGTTCCATACTGTACGTGCTATGCTCGTCGGCATCCTTCTGACGCCTCTCTCGGCTGTTCTCGCTCCTGGCGACACCGTCACCGTTCTTGGCGCATCGGGCAACGTTGGAAAGCTCGTCGCGCTACGGCTCGCCGACACGTTCAAGGTGCGTGGGGTGGTGCGAGATGCGGCACGGGCCCGCGCCTTCCTGGGCGACAAGGTCTCGCTGTACGAGGCGGATCTACGCGGCGACGACGTGACGGCTGCGCTCGCACCGGCGCTGGAGGGAGCGCAGGGCCTGGTCGTGTGCACGGGGACGACGGCGTTCCCGACGCAGGCGTGGTCGCCGAGCGGGCGCGAGGGCGTCTCGCTGCCGGTGCTCAGGGCGCTCTTCGACGCGCGCGAGGCGGGTGGGCTCGGCGCGGTGGTCGAGGCTGCGATCGCGAGCCTGAGCGCGTCTGGCTTCAACACTCCGACAGTGGTGGACGAGGTCGGAAACTACAAGATCCTTGAGGCGTGGGAGGCGGCAGCCGGCGCGTCGCGCAAGCGGCTGGTCCTGCTCTCGTCGGTGGGCGTGCAGCGGCGGGCCGAGATGCCGTACCCAATCCTCAACGCTTGCGGCGTCCTCGACGCCAAGGCGGCCGCTGAGGCCGCGATCGTCGCAGACGCGGCAGGCGCGGGCTACGCGTACACCTTCGTGCGGCCGGGACAGCTCTTTGGGGGGCCGTACGACAACAACTACTACCTCGGCACGCTCTTCCAGCTCGACAAGGACGCCGAGACGCGCGAGGTGCTGCTCGGCAAGGGCGACGTGACGCTCAACGACGACCCGCAGCTTGGCACCCTTCGCTCCACGCTCGCGGAGGTGATCGCGCAGACGCTCGAGTGCGGCGCCGGCGAGAACGCCGACTTCACGTGCGTCAACGCCAAGGGCGAGTTTCCCGAGCCGGTGGTGCTGCGCGAGCGGCTGGCGGCCCTGTGACGCTGGAGATTTCGTTGTCCTGATTGTCTGAGTTGCGGTTCGTGAGCGCGCCATGGAGGAGCGCGCTCTCGACGAGATATTGTCGCACTTATGCATGTGCGTGTGCGTGTGCATGTGGCATTGTATTTGGGCGCGCCGGCCGGAGCATACGCATAATATATGACTACACAGGCGGTGTCAGGTGTAGCATCCCCCGATCCCCTCGCTTCACATATCACAAACGGAGCTCCAAATCGCTAAGCCGTAAAATGGACTCGCCGACTCACAAGGATTGCATCACCATCAGCGCCTGCAGCGCCTCTCGGTCGCGCATGACGGAAGTCCAGTTGCTGGGTTCCTCTCGATGACTCTCCGCCTCGAGCGGGACCACGGAGGCGCCCTGTGCCGACCCACTGCACGCGTAAGTCGACCGCCGCCTACCAGCCGGCCTTCCTGGGGGGCTCGCCCCCCCCCGGCCCGGCGGCAGTGGGCCGCTCCTCGCCTTGTGGGCTGGAAGGATATACGGCCGGAACGTGCAGTGCTCCGCCAACTCCTTCTCCTCGCGCGTGAGCTCATCCCGTGAATCCTTGCGCCTGGGGCGCGGAAAAGAGGAACCTCTTAGCGCCATCGCCATGGTGCTGCAAGCAGCGCCGGGCGACGACGACCTACCGCCTCCCGGTCCCCCTCGGCACACCTCCGCTGCTCAATGAGTGCATCCCCCCCCCCCCATCAACAACGGCGAGGTCCCCCTCCCCTCGCCCCTGCGCCCTGGGGTCGGCCGGCGCGAAACCTCCAAGTCCGCGGCCGGCCGTGAAGCGGGTGGCTGTGGGTACGGCGCGACGCGATGTCGACGCTCGTAGCAGACGCCGATCCAGCGGCGGTGCAGTCGGTGACGACGGCTGGAATCCGCGTCGTCGCGCCGCGGTGGGTGGGTGTGTCGCTGCCGATCGGCCGCAAGCTCTTCTCTGGCGGGAAGCTGCCGCAGGGAGAAGTGGACGTGACCATCGGGCGCGGGTTGCTCTTGCTCGGCTCCTTTGAGGATGCGAGGGGCGCGGACGCTGGCGTCCACAGGAGGACTGCGCTGCCATCGTACCAGTGGTGGATCCATCAGCTGGAGTCGGGCCGGCTCCCTGGCGTCGCCGCAAGCGACAAGGTCGGCCCCGACACGGTGCTTGTCGGCCGCTTCCACTACCACGAGCAATCGATCGCGGCACAGCCGCCTCTCGAGATCGTGTTCGAGGACGAGCATTTTGTCGTAGTCAACAAGCCCGCCGGCGTCGATGTGCTCGCCAACCCGGACGCAGGGCGCGTGGCCAACTCGCTGACCGGGCTGCTCGCCGAGCACTTCTGCGCAGGCGGCGGCGGCGCAGCCTCCCCGCTGCCGCCGCTTCCGAAGCCGGCTCACCGGCTCGACGCGCCGGTGTCGGGTCTCGTGTGCTGCGGCCGCACCAGCGCCGACGTGAGGCGGCTGCAGCGGCATATCGCGGCGCGACGGGTGGAGAAGCGGTATCTGGCGCGCGTGCGCTGCGTAGGGGGCAGAGCCGCGTTCCCGCCGCTGCCTCTGACGATCGACGCCCCGCTCGCGTTTGATAGCGGCCGGTGCTTCGAGCTCATGTCGGGCGAGGCGAGGTATGAACCGCGTCTCCTCACAGCTTCTGCCGTGATCAGGTGCCTCGGCGCGGTCGTCGGGAAAGGCGAGGGGAAGGAGGCGACGACCGTCGTCGAGGAGTGCTGGGGGTGGGTCGCCAGCGGCGGCGGCGGCGGGCGAAAAGGCGGCGGCGGCGACGAGACGGCGGTGGTCGTTCTGCGCATTGTCACGGGGCGCAAGCACCAGATCCGCTGCCATCTGCAGCACGCCGGCCTACCAATCGCGAACGACACGCGGTACGGCGGTGCGGAGGTGGGGCGCCGCCTCTGAGCCCTGCCACCGCAATCGGACCGTCTGACAGTGACCCCCCGCGACAGCACTTGGCAGTGGCTGCCAGCCCGGCATCTCTGACAGCCTCTCTCTGGGAGTCGGACGGCGACGTCTGGCATCGCTAGGTGCACGCGCCGCCCTCCGCCTTCGGCCTGCCTGTTCCACCGCCCGCCCTCGCGCGGCTGCTGCGCGCCGGTTTCGTCGCTGGGTGCGAGGCCTGCGCTTTTGCGCGCGATCTGCTCGCCGCTGCGGCCGAGGGGGGAGAGGCGGTGGGCGGTCCGAGGGTGTGCGGGGCGATCTGGCTGCACTCGTGGAGGTACGCGTTCCCGGAGCTCGGGCTGAGGTTCGAGGCGCCGACGCCGTCGTGGGCGAGGGTGGAGGGGGTGAGGGGGTCGGATGGGTCCGTCTTCAAGGACGGCGACGGCGCTGAGTGTGACCAGCATGGCGCTGGGCGAGCTTCCGCGCGCGGAGTTGCTGCGGGAGCCGACAGACAACCCGGAGAGGTAGGGAGTCGTCGATCGGGATGAACACGAGGGCGATGTGAATATACCGTGCGTGCGGCAGTCGCCAGTCGAGGTGGGCAGCACCCGTCCTCTCTCACTACGGAACGCCGACATCGCTCGCGTCCGGTGTCCAATCGAAAATTACGGCTTCTCGCAACGAAGAGACCGTTTAACAAGACATCGGAGATCGCGGACTTCTCGCACTGAACACACAATAGCATTACGAGGACTATATCGAAGAGTCCCGTAGCGCTAGCAGCCGCTCGTTCAAACCATCATGTGGCTCATGATCTCCTGCTTGGTCTCTTTCACCTGGTGGTGACGTGGTAGGCGGCATAAGGGCCGGCGGCGGCGGGGGGCTGGGGCTGGGCGGCGATAGCGAGGGAGGCTGCGGCGCAGAGGGCGGCGGCGGCGGCGGCGGCGGGCGGGCGGGCGGGCGGGGGGGGGGGGGGGGGGTAGCAGAGGCTGCTTACCTTGCCCTTCGAAAGTTGGAATTTGACCTTCTTCACCTGCTTCTGCCCGCCCTTCTTGGCCGCCTGCTTCTTCTTCGCGAGTTGCTGCGCCGCCTTAACGTCGAGGTGCGTCACGTCGTACCTGTGTACAGCACGCGGCAGTGAGGCGACGCGGCCGTGAAAGCGGCGTACCACGACTAAGCTCACGTGATGGTGCCAGACATGACCCCCGTGCTGCAGGCAAAGTTGTGAATGTTCCTGAAGGCGTGAAACTCGGACTTGAAGTTGAGGATCCCGCCATCTGTCATCTCGATGCCGTTCGTGCGCGTGATCATGCGCTGCGGGACGAACTTGGGGCCGAGGCTGAACTCGGAGTACTCGCAGAGGTTGGTGCCCATAATGGCCTCGCGCACCGCGTTGAGGTCGCTTTTGCAGAGGCAAAAGGAGAACTCCTGCAGCGAGTGGCTGCCGCGCTTGTCAGCCACGACCGCGACGAATTTGAAGTAGCCCTTGATCTCGTGTCGCTCGAAAGACATGTTGAAGATGTCGCACCACTTGAGCATCTGTGATTTCCCACCGATGAAGTTCGGGTCGTCGATGCACAGCCCTCCCTTGAAGAGCTTGAGCTTATCCGGGCACACGACCGGGCGGAGGTAGTGCCTCGTGAACTCGGTCGTGGCGCCCTCTGGAATCTGTGGAGGGGGAGGGGGAGGGAGAGGGTTAGGATTGGGGTTAGCGTTAGGGTTGGCGAAGGTCCAGGTGACAGGGTGCCGGCAAGTCCAAAGTCGGCGCGTGCGTGTGGCGCGAGGGAGCGGGTGCGGGTGTTTTGCAGCAGGTGCGACGGGGTACCTGGATGGTCGCGAGGCCGCTGACGCCGAATGCGCTCCGCTGAATGCAAGGTGTGGAGGTTCCGCAACCCATTTTGGCGTGGTACGTAGAGGGTGCACGAGCAGCGGGCGCAAAGGCGGCGGCAGAAAAGCGGCGCCCGGCGACGACGAGGGTCCGACGAGCCCGTGGGCCCCCATGCGACCCCTTTGTATTTTGAATCACCCCTGAGAAGTAAGAAGAAACAAAAAAGTGTTCATGGACACACGCCGGCACCGGAGCACCGTACCGTCCGGACGGTGCATTGACGGGTGGACGCTAGATAGGAGATGACCCCCCCCAATGAACACACCAGTGAGGGTGGGCGAGACGATCGAGGGGTCCCGTACCATGCGGAACCGACCCTATCCAGTGCTCAAGTGCTCAAGGAGATGATGACGCATGACGCGCCCTCACTGCCGCCCGCCACCCTCGCCCCCGCCTCCTCCTTCATCTCCCGAGACCCCGCCACCGCGCACCGCGGGCTGGCTCCGGGGCTCGCCCGCGCACCGCAACAAAGAGGGCAAACCCACGGGGCGAGTGGACTGCTTCAAGGCCGTCGGCACCTTCTTTGGCGACCCTGAATCCTGCAAAAAGGAGCTCACCGCGCACCTCAGGAAGAAGCTTGCGCCGCTCGACGTCATCGACACGATCGTCGACACTGACTGCGTCACGAACACCTCGCAGCTCCGCCTCAACCTCGTCCAACGGATTGCCTGTGCAAAAAGACCAAGTACATTGCCGGCATCACGCCGCCCAATGTCGCGTGCGAGGCTCTCGAGTTTGCGCACAATCGCATCCGCAAGTCCTTTGAGGGCATTGCTCGCGCCGACGCCTCGCCCCAGGCGCTCCGCGACCTCGCGTGGTTCCAGGCGCAGCTGCCGACCGAGATGGGCGGGTGCAACATCGACACCGCCTTCACGCGAGCCGACAGCGACTTCTCCATGTCGCTCCTCAAGAACTGGCGCACCCTCGTCGCCCACAACCTTGACTTCGCCCTCGACGAGGGAGGTGCGTCCAAGTACCCCGCCATCGCCGCAGCTATCGCCACCTACGAGTCCGCCCTCTCGGAGACTGGAAGGAGGTGTGCGAGAAGCGCGCCGCCCGCGACAAAACCAAGTACCACACCGTCCGCGGCGGCTACCTGACTGAGTTCTACCCCAAGAGCGTCCCGCTCCCCGAGCCCGAGTCCCTTCCAGCTACCGACGCGATTCTCAATGGCACTTGCAAATCCACGTACCCGCGGCCGCGGGCGCTCGCTGCCATCAAGCATCAAGGACTGGTACGCGCACCAGGAGCTCGTCAAGGCGCGGGATGTGCACGTCAAGAACAACCCGTCCCTCGGAGACAGCGCCGTCAACAACCGCGAAGCCGCGCGCTTCGTCTCCGCCTCAACGCCTTTCGCCGGCAAGGCCCTCGATGTCCGTGTCGACGGTACGTACGCCACCGCCCTCTCCTCCGACACCCTCCAGGACGAGCTCCAGCGGAAGCTCGGCCTTTGGCTCTCCGCGGCGCTTCCCACCCTTCGGGTCGCGCTCGAGCGGGGCATGCCAGTCGATTTCTTCGGCGACTACCTTTACAACAAGGCCCACCACCGGCGGCCCCACGACGGCGTCCTCGCCGCCTGGGCGGACGCGATGCGCGCCCCGGCCTACGCGCCGGTCGTGCACGGCGACAAGGAGAAACCAGAGCTCACCCGGCAGTACAACGAGGGGTACAAGACTGACCTCGCAGAACCCCATGCGGGACCGGTGGGGTGCGATGAAGTGAATGAAATCAGGCTCTGGACGCCCCTCCTCAAGACCTCCTCGGCGGGCGTTGGCAACGCCTCGAGCGGCCCGCCTCCGTTGGCCACTCCTACGCCTTCGGCAACACCGAAGAGAAGGCCCGCCGCCTAAACATGGGCTGCAAGGCGCGCGGGCAGCCCGGCCAACCCTTCTCCCACAAGACCGGCCACGGCTGCGTCAAGGCGCATCGCGGTTTCTACCACGACGCGATCTTTGTCAAGCGCAACAACTTCAAACTGCTCCACGAGACGTTCGCTCGGGCGAGGCTTAGCTCCGTGCACTCGTGACGCAGAACGTGACTCGACCAAAAATAGAAAGAATCTGCCCCGCTGCTCCAAGGGCTGCGAAAAGCGGCGGGGGCACGCACGCGCAGCACACTCAGGCGAGGGACTTCAGCACACTCCACGCCGTGGGGCTAGCACGCACACAACGGCGACAACGGCGACTACATCAAGATAGCGAAAGCCTTCATTCGCACCGCCGCCATCGGAGCCACCGCCTCCCACGCGCCCACTGCCGGGTCGTACCGCTCCATCGAGCTGAGCGCGTTGTAGCCGGCACCCTGTCCGCCCACAGCGTACAGCTTGCCGTCCAGCACTGCCGCGGCGGGATTAACCCGCGCCTCCACCATCGGCGCCACCGCCTCCCACGCGTTCGCCGCCGGATCGTACCGCTCCACCGAGCTGAGGAAGCCGTCGTCGTTGTTGTCGCCGCCCACAGCATACAGCTTGCCGTCGAGCACAACCACGGCGTGAGAGTCCCGCGCCGTCGCCATCGGCGCCACCGCCTCCCACGCGTTCGTCGCCGGGTCGTACCTCTCCACCGAGGCGAGGTAGCCACCGCCGTACCCGCCGATAGCATAGAGTTTGCCGTCGAGAGCCGCCATGGCGTAGTTACTTCGCGCCGTCGCCATCGGCGCCACCGCCTCCCACGCATTCGTCGCCGGGTCGTACCTCTCCACTGAGCTGAGGAAGCCGTCGCTGTACCCGCCAACAGCATAGACCTTGCCGTCGAGCACCGCCATGGTGTAAGCAAAGCGCGCCTCCGCCATCGGCGCCACCGCCTCCCACGATTTCGTAGCCAGATCGTACCGCTCCACCGAGCTGAGGGCGCTGCCGTTGTACCCGCCAGCAACGTACAGCTTGCCATCGAGCACCGCCATGCCGACATTCGCGCGTGCCGTCAGCATCGGCGCCATAGCCTCCCCCTCCCACTCCTTCGTTGACGGGTCGTACCGCTCCAGCGAGTTGAGGAACTCGTGGCTGCCAGCGTGGCCGCTGATCACGAGCAGGCGCGGCCTCTCGCGCTTCTTCAGCGTCTCCTTCCAGCCGCGGCGCCACGCGCGGCACGTCCCCTTGGCGGCGTGCTCCGTGGTCGGCAGGTGGGCGAGGATGTGCGGGGCGAGGTCCGGCGAGAGGAGGACCTCGGAGAGCACCCACTCGGGCTGCTCCACGAGCCGTGCGGCGTGCTCCTCAGCCACGCGCATTGCGGCGGCGCTCCAGAGAGGCGCCTGCTCGTCGATGAAGGCGACGAGCTGCTCTGGCGAGAGGCCGGAGAGGCGGGCGCCGATGCGGTGGGAGGCCATCGGCGTGGGCGTCAGGGAGACCGTCAGCGGGGGCCGGTGCTGCGATCGGCGGCGTGATTTCTTTTTTTGCTCTTCGTTGGTGTCCAGCCCCCGCCGCCAAGTCCCTGCCTCGACGGCGGCGCGGAGTGCTGGCCGGCTCTCGGCCTCCGCCTCTCTCTAGTATGAATGAGCGTCACTTTGTACCCACCCACCCTAGTTCGTGGGGACCCCCCCGCCGGTCGGTGGTCTGCCCCCGAGGTGGACCGGACCCCCCCTCCGCTCCGGTCGGTCGCTCTCTCGGCGGCGGGAGGAAGGGGAGGTGTGACGACCGACCCCCCCCTCGGTCGGTGTCCTTGCCGTGAGCCCCCTCAAACGCTCTCCCTCCTTCTCGCGAACCGCCACGGGCGCTTCGAAATCGCCGATTTTCACTATGAAAACCAGTCACGCAGCCAAGCGCCAAGCGAAGGAGACTCTTCGCCGAGGCCCGAGCAAGCCCGACCGCACACATATATGTGGAGCATCTACGCAGTCGCAGGCCTGGAGCGGCCGCACATTGCTCGGTACCCCCCCTGCACTTCTAAGCCCGTCCCTGCTGCTAGGGGGGGGGGTCTGACCCCCCCAGCAGCAGAGCGCTGCTGCTGGGGGGGGGGTCCCGACCCCCCCAGCAGCAGAGCGCTGCTGCTGGGGGGGGGGTCCCGACCCCCCCAGCAGCCGAGCGCACTGGACCCAGCTCCCGCCTCCCGCCGCCCCCCCTCCCGCCCCCTCGGCTCGTGTTTGAGCGGTACGCTCGAGGCAGTTGTGTTCACCGCGCCTTCGAGCCCAATACACCTTCGTCGTGTCGAGTGCTGGCGTTTTACTAAAGACTTGTGACCATGGTGAGTCTATCTTGTACTACCACACAACACTCGGTGTCAGAGCGTCGCGCCTACATCAATAGTCTCATCACCGAGTGATTGCTGGCCTGTGGCGTATGACCTCGCACGGATATCACCAACGACGAGCATGCGAAGATATTGAGCACTATCCGATGGACTTGTACAGCCCGCTGTGCTCTCCGCTGTGCCACGGCGTATGATGGGCTGCGAGAGCCGTATCTTCCCTCCTTGACGCAGAGGCGCCGCGAGGCACGAGAGGCGTAGAAGAGAGGCTGGCGCGTGCCCCGCACCGCCCGGTTGGCAGTAGGAGGCCCCGCCGGTGAGACCACTGATTTTGATGCCGACCATAAATTCTCGCAACTCGAACGCATGCTACTTACAGCTGCTGTCTGTACACAGAGATGCCAGCACCCCCCACAGGCAGAGCGCTGCTGCGCTGGGGGGGGGGGGTCCCGACCCCCCCAGCAGCAGAGCGCTGCTGCTGGGGGGGGGGGTCCGACCCCCCCCAGCAGCAGAGCGTGCTGCTGGGGGGGGGTCGGCCATGGGCTTAGGTGTGCAGGGGGGGTACCGAGCAGTGTGCGGCCGCTCCTGGTCCTGCTTGCCGTCACTTTGTACAAGCTCTGGCAGCGCTCCAGTTCTCCACAGTACGCGCGCATCGTCCCTTAGTGTCGAGACGTGCACGTGTCCGAATTGCGATGCGGGCCGGGAGGGTGGGCGGGCGCTGCCGCTAGTGGGCGGATGCGTTGGCGAGTTGCTAGTTGTTTGTCTGCAGTAGATCAAAATTTGGTGCACTGGTGAGCGTAACGACCAGAAAATTCTTTTTTCGTATAGAAACGCGTCGTCGCGCGCAGTATGGCAAAGGCAAAGGCCCCCGGTCAGCAGCGCAACACGCTGGGCTTCGGGCCTGCTTCAGCTGATGCCACGCCGCCAGCCGCTGCTGCCACGACAAAGCACGGCTCGCTCACGCACGGCCGCCAGGCTGATATCCCGCGCGAGGCCGACGGCATCATGAAGTACGCGAACGGTTGGAGCAATCCCGCCATCGTCTCAACGAAGACCAAAAACCAGATGAAGTTCTCGCTCAAGAACATGATCGCAAATCGGTACCGATCCTCGCCATGCTCAAGTCGTCGGCGAAGCACCTCTCCACTGTCGAGGGCCAGTTCCGAAACCTCTTCAATGGCAGCGACCTCGCCGTGCTCTGGGAGGCCAAGGGACAGCAGATCGAGACGCTCTGGTCCTCGGTCACAGGGGGAGAGGGCACGAGGGCGCTCAAGAAGCTCGAGAACGACTCGATCATCGGGAAGATCAACAAGTTCATCGGCGTCTACCTACATGGAGGAGGAGACCGAAAGAAGGCACAGCAATGTAAACACACCGCTGCCTTCCGCCCCGTTCGCTGGACAAGTCCTAGAAGATGTAGGATTGCGAGCGTGGGTGCTCACAATCGCACAGAGATGCTACGATTGCGAGGAGTGCTGCTCACAATCCTTCGACTTCTAGGATTGAGAACGAGGCTGCTCTCAATCCTAGCCTGGTAGAAAAGAAGGTTCACGGACATTTCCCTCGCCGCACGCGTGCAGGACGAGCGTGCGTGAGCGATGTGCCCGACGCTCTTGCTGTTGCACACCACATTCGCGATTTCATTTCCGGCCGCCGCTGGCCTGACCGCGCCGAAGCCACTGGCAACTGGACCGGCAATGGGCTCGCAGCCGCAGGCGGCGATCGGACGTGGCGGATTGGGCAGGGATGTGCTCACAGCGCCTTCCACACAGGCCACGGGAATGGCTGGAGATGTGCTCCGAGCACCCTCAACGCCAGCTAGGCCGCTCTTGCTCATCGGCGGCGCCGGCGCGATCGCGCTTGCGCTCCTTGTCGCTCCGCCCGCCTTTGGTTCCGTCGACACGACCGCTGTGGCGGCTGCAGCCTCGGAGGCTGCGCCGGCGTACGGCGACGTGTGGGAGAAGGCTGCGAAGCGGGCGCTCGGCGGCGGCGTGAGCGGAGCGCTCGCGAGCGTGGCGCAGGTGCTCACGCTCATGTGGCTCCGAACCGTCATGAACTACCAGTACGCGTCGGCAGAGCCGCAGATGCCGAACAGAGCCGCAGATGCCGAACAGAGCCCTGCATTCTAGTGAGCGGACAACACGAAAGACGCCACTGAGTTTGGGTCTGGATGCGGCAGGCCGAGAGCATCTCCACGTCCGAGGCGTTGCGGCGCGTGTACGCCGAGGGCGGCGGCACGTTGGGCGGCGGCGTGAGGCGGCTGTACCGCGGCCTCCCCTTTGCGCTACTGCAGACGCCGCTCACTCGCTTCGGCGACACCACTGCCGGCAGCGGCCTGCTCCTCTCTCGCTATCACCACCGCGCATTCTTGGTCAGGCGACACCGCCGCTAACACCGGCGTCCTCCTGCTCCTGGCCGACCCGAGCGTCTTTGGCGGCGAGGTCTAGCCGAGATCTGGCCGAGATCTGGCCGAGGTCTGGCCGAGATCTGGCCGAGGTCTGGCCGAGATCTGGCCGAGGTCTGGCCGAGATCTGGTCGAGGTCTGGCCGAGATCGCGCAGAGAGGCAGGGCTCGGTCCCCAAGAAGCAGGACCCACCCGACCCAGCTGGAGCAGCGAGGCACACGGAAGAGCCGATCACGTGCGCTGCTGCTGTCCACCACTACACCCCCCCCCCTCTCTGCTCACGGGGGCCCTCCCCCATCCTCAGGGCCTCCAGGGCTCACACCCTCGCCCATCTAGACGAGCCCCGAGCGCACACAGCTCTCTCTTCTCCCCGACACGAGCCTCCGGGACAGGCGCCACGGCGGCGCTGCCGGTCGCCGTGAGGACTGCGATCGCGTCGGGCGCGGCGTGGGCTCTGCAGGATCGGCCCGACGAGACGGGAGCCGAGCTCACCCGAGATGACCCGCGAGGGTAGGCGCTGCGTCGGTCTGGAGGATCGGCCTCACTCCGGTCGACACGCTCAAGAGCACGCTGCAGGCGCGCGGCGGCGAGGCGGAGTCCGACCATCGCAAGTCGCGAGGCGGTGGGCGACACGCGACACTTCCGAGACACGTCCGAGACGCGTCCGTGACATGTCGACGTGCAGGTGCGCGGCGAGGAGGCGTACGACTTGCTGCTCGCAAAGTTCCGCGCCGAGGGCGCCGGCGCCTCTTTCACGGCCCGCCCTTCCAAGACCTCTCCAAGACAGGTCCTGGAACCTTCCTGTAGGCGCCGGCGTCTTGTTCCAGGGCGCGCGCACACCCCTTTCGCCCCACGCCCAGCGAGCCCCGCCCGCGCACACCCCGCACGCCACGTGTACGTGCACTCTGCGGCGCGCCACGCGGATATTGCCGCCTCGCGCGCGTCCGCGAGTCTCTCTCTCCGCTACACATTCACTCGCAAATCGCCCCGGCACAGGTGCGCTCGCCTCGGCGGCCGCATCCTTCGTCGGCTCGTACCCATGGCAAGCTCCTAGATATGAGGAGATGTGGGGAGGTATGGGGAGGTATGGGGAGGCGTGGTGGCTCGTACCCATGGCAACCTTCCCCCTCCAGCTGCGAGACAGACAGACAGACAGACAGACAGACACACACACACACAGCCTCCCCCCCCCCTCACCTGGGAGACCTCGCCCTCGCCCCTCTCCTCTCCCGATGCGAAGCACACTCCCTTGCTCCGGGCAGGTTCCTCACCTACAACGCGCTCGACGAGCGGCTGCCCGCCTCCCCCGAGGGCGAGGTCGCCTTGCGCCTCTGCCGCTCCGCGCTGCTCGGTGCCGCTACCCCCCCCCCCCCCCCCCGGTGCGTCTCGGACGGCGCCTGGTTCATGACCAGCGACAACGCATGGGCGGGTAGGCGTCGCCGCCTCGTGTGTGTCAGACTGCACCTCGAACTCTCTGCGCGTGCTCAAGACGCGCCGGCAGACGGCGGCCAACTCGACCTCGTACCTCGACGCGGCGCGTCGGAGACTCGTCGACGAGGACGGAGTCCGTCCCCTCTCTGAACCCTCTCGAACCCTTCTCGCAGGCGCGCGAGATCGTCGACGAGGACGGCTGGGCAGCGCTCTTCGTGCGCGGGCTGGGCACGCGGCTGCTGGTCAACGCGCTGCAGGCGGCACTCTTCACCGTCCTGTGGAAGACAATCGAAGACGTGCTCGTGAACGGAGGCGGCCCAGGCTGGCTCACATTCGCAGCAGCTGGAAGCCCCGGCCTGTAGAGCCGTGGGCCGACCACCATGATCCATGTAGCGCCGGTCCGGGCTGCGAAAACTTTTAGTTTTTATCCGCAGAGCGGAGAGAGAGGGAGAGAGCCCGTCCCGTCTGAGTACACGTACGCTCGGCTGCCGCAGCCACAACTCCTGAGACAATCGGCCACCATAAACCAGGCAGCGGCACCGCAAGCCCACGAAGCCGCGCACGCCCGTGCCCCGGGGCACGCGAGACCGGAGACGACCGCCCGGACAGCGGCAAACCGTGCGGTACGCGCTACGCACGCTCACATCCCGACTTTACAAGCTCTCCTGCGCGCTATACCGTCTTGCCCTCTCCCAGCGCCCACACGCGCATGCGGCTGTGAGCATTCTTTCTCTGGTGGTTCTCTGGGTCTTCTCTCCACAGTGTCTTCTCTTTTATTATGAGATGGCGGCGTCCACCCCGGGTCGTCCTGCTTCCTCGCATCACCCGATCTGATAGCCGGCGAGCAAGCCGCCGGCGAGGCCGCCCGAGAACCCCGCGTGCTTCTGCGCAAACGGCGCGACCTAACGGCGCGGTATTGAGGGCGTGGGCCACGCGGTATTGGTGCGGTGCATGACGCCATTTGCTGTGTGGCGCGGCAAGCCGTGTGTGGCGTGAAAACGTGCAGTGTCGCGCCTTGGAGAGCGCCATCTTACCGTCGGCGGCGGTGATCTTGTCATCCCCGTCGATGTCGGCCAGCTTTAGGAAGCGTGGCAGCATCGCCGTCGCGTCCTCCACCGCGCCCTCCACCTTGGACTTGAAGTGGTCTAGCTGCTCGTCTTTGAGGTAGCCCTTGTAGTATGCACCGGCGGTTAGTATGCCCGCGGCGAAAACGGCCTTCGTCGCCATCGCCTGAACCTGCTTGCACGCAAACCCCGCTGCGAAGCCGCACCCGAACCCGACAGCAGCTTCGCCGCCCCGACCCTTTGTGATCTCGAGGGCACGCTGCAGCAGCTTTTCGGCCTTCCTCTCCACTGCAGTCTCCTCCGCCTCTGAGGCGAGGAGGCAGCCGCAGAGGAGCAGGACGCGCAGCAGGCGCATCCGACAGCGCGAAAATTCGGCCGATTGAAGAATTTACAACGCTTCCATTCTTGCTCCCCGGCCCTGGATGTGCGGTTAATGACTGCAGTCCAAGTGCTCCAAGTGAAAACGACCTCGCCCTCAACCCGATGCCAATCATCCGGCCCGCTGGGTGTGCTTCTCAGCCCCCCGGCCCTGGATGTGCGGTTACCGACTGCACTCCAAGTGCTCCAAGTGCCCTGAAGGTTGCAGCGAGAATCGGCGAGGGATTGCGAACTGGGCGAGCGACGAGGAGGAGCCTGCTGAGGCTGCGCCGCACGCTGCGCCGCACCTTCGAGTGCCTTCACTGCAGGATCCTTCTTCGTGCAAGTCGTTTTCGCGCCGCACCTGGCCCGCGCCCCCGCGGAGCGGCGGACGGAAAGTGGCGGCTGCTCGAGCGGCTGCGGGAGTGGCAGCCTGGGCTATGCCCCCCCCCCCCCCCCCCTTTTGCTGCTCGCTGCTTGCCTTTGGCCGGCCCAGCCTCGAACCTCTGGGTTGCGGCTGGCCTCGGCTGTGCCTTTTCGGGGGCCGTTTTCGCTGGGGCCGGAGCTGCCTCGCCTCGTCGTCTCTCTCGTGACTAAACTCGTCGCTCTCTGACAGCGAGGGTCTTGGGACCTCGCCCTCGACCACGCTCTCGCCCTCGCCCGCGTCCTCCCCTCGCTCCGCCGCAGCCGGCGCTGCAGCCGGGGCAACGCAATCATGGCAGTGGATGGGCCGGCCTCCCCGAAATCAAGCCGAAGTTCTAGAAAGTGGTTCGCCGCCGCCGCGAATGGTTGTCGAAGCGTGTGCACTGCGGTGCCATCATAATGTCAACCACTCTGGCTTGGCAGATACACCACTGAGCAGGATCATACGCTGGTCAATTGGGCATGTTGTAGAGTTGCCGTGGGTAGACGTTCTTTGTGAGCCTTGCGCGCGTAACCTGACGCGTCTCATTTCCTGTTCTCGAAGCTTGCTTGACCAGTGTCTAAGTGTCGAGATCAATCTGTCGCTTGCCCCGCATCTCGAGCAGGGTCAGCTTCGCCTCCATCGCGCGATTGGTTGGAGTACACGCGAGATGAGCACCCACGGGCTACCCACGCGCCGGGCCGTCAGCGCTTTTTCGAAAACAGCGACACTATGCAGCTACGAGACTAGGGTTGAGGCTGATTGATTGGCTAGACGAGCGGCCTACCTCCAACGGGGCTGTCTGGGAACGCGTGGATCCGGCCCGCCCCCCGCGCCGCCCACCGGCGGGTTACGGTTTAGCGCCGACCGACAAACAAACAGACAGCCCTCTCCACCACCCTCGCCCAGGGACCGACCTGTGCGCTGTGGGCACTGCCTGCGCTCGGCACCGGGCACCGCCTCGGTATACAAAATGCGCCTACGGGCGGACCCTCACAGATCACAGATCACACCCGGGAGGGGGGGCCTGCGCCGGAGGCGTAGTCCGATATGAGTTTCGTTTCCAAGAATCACAGATCATCCAGCCATCCAGGCGCGCGTTTTGGGGATTCGTTCTAAAATCCTCGCCGATCGGCATCGGCGCTATGCGCACGGTTCGTGCAGTGATGTCGCTGGCGCTCGCCGTCGGCGTACACGCGACGTGCAACCCGTATTGTGGGGACAAGACGCAGGGCTGGGACAAAAAGTGCGACTGGGGTGGCTGCTACAGCTGCACCGAGTGCTCCTCCCCTCCGCCGGTGTGCAAGCCGTTTTGTGAGGACAAGACGCAGGCCTGGGAGGACAAGTGCACCTGGACTGGCTGCTCCGGCTGCACCGATTGCATCGTCCCTGAGCCGGTGTGCAAGCCGTTTTGTGAGGACAAGACGCAGGGCTGGACTGACAAGTGCACCTGGGGGGGCTGCAACGGCTGCACCGAGTGCTCCGCCCCTGCGCCGGTGTGCAAGCCGTTTTGTGAGGACAAGACGCAGGCCTGGGATGACAAGTGCACCTGGACTGGCTGCACCGGCTGCACCGAGTGCCTGGCCCCTTTGCCGTCGGCGCCGCCCCCCACACCGCCGACTCCGACCGACCCTCCCTCCCTCCCTCCCTCACCGTCGGCGCCGCCCCCCACACCGCCGCCTCCGACGCCACCACCGCCCACACCGCCGCCTCCGACGCCACCGTCGGCGCCGCCCCCCACACCGCCGCCTCCGACGCCACCGAAGGCGCCGCCCCCCACACCGCCGCCTCCGACGCCACCACCGCCATCGCCCCCAGTGGAGTGCAAGTCGTTTTGTGAGGACAAGACGCAGGACTGGGATGCCAAGTGCACCTGGGGGGGCTGCAACGGCTGCACCGAGTGCGCGTCCCCTCCGCCGGTGTGCAAGACGTTTTGTGAGGGCAAGACGCAGGGCTGGGACAAAAAGTGCACCTGGGATGGCTGCAACGGCTGCACCGAGTGCTCGTCCCCTGCGCCGGTGTGCAAGCCGTTTTGTGAGGGCAAGACGCAGGGCTGGACTGACAAGTGCGCCTGGGATGGCTGCTTCGGCTGCACCGAGTGCCTCGTCCTCATGGGCTGAATAACTCGAGTGCTCCGTGTAATTTGCAATGCTAGTGCAACGCGAGCACAACCAAGCAAGGCGCGCATGTGTAATTTGCAGATCGATCATCCGACCACCCCTGCACTGCGCGGGCCTTGGTCCGGTGTGCCGCTGGATGCGGCATTGGGCCAATCCTTGAGTGCGCGCTGAACACTGACTGTGCGTGAGGGAGGGGGTACTCGGCGAGGACTTGGGAGTGTCTTGTGCCACTCGACCGAGGCAGCGGATCCGTGGCTGTCGGTGCGAGTGGCCTGTATCATCACGTCGGTCAAGGTGCGCAACCGTGGCGACTGCTGCTTGGACCGGCTTTCGCCGTCCGAGGTGTGGGTCGGGAGTGCGGAATGTACATTGCGGAATTCAGGGGGGGCGCGGCGATTTTAGATTTGTTTTGAATCCCCTCCCAACCCCTATGCTAAGCACCCGCACCGCCCAGTGAGTAGTGTCGCGGGCTAGGACGATAAGGGGACCATCGCGCGGGATCCCACATTTCACATGATGATGCAATCAATGCCGAGCAGCTCTGAGTGCTGCGAAAGTGCAACAGCACAGCTTGCCAGGCCGCCTGGACTAAGTGCAACTGCAGCCCAGACAGACGGCTTGTGGCATGCACCGCCGCCAGCTCCTAGAGTGAGAGGGATACACGGTTGGTGAGGGAGTGCCAAGTCAGTAGCGAGGAGGTCCAAGCCTGCAGGAGGGCACAGCTAATCAAGGCGCAGGCGCGCACCGCCATGACTCCACCCTTGTTGTTCACGAGGCTTGCACGCCCAGCCACCAAGAGAAGCAGCAAGCATCCAAGGCAGAAAAGATCACAAACCAGCCGCCAGACTTCACGTTGTAGCCAAGGTAGTAATTCGAATGTCTTCGTGCATAGTGGCAAGACGTGCTCTCGACAGCTAAGGGCTAAGTAAGACGCAATTTCATTGAGGCAGGAAAGAGCTCGCCGAGGAGTCGAGGGCTCCCGACCACGCCGGACCCAGCCAGGATAAGGCACGCTTGCCTTAAACTGCCATGAAGAGCACTAAATGTGCGATAAAAAATCTGTTCCACAAAATGTATTTGAAAAGCGGGCGAATTGCATCTGAACGGAGGAAGAATGGCGGGAGAATCTCTCGCAAATGAACAGCGAAGGGCGCAGTGAAAAACGATAAAACAAATCTTCGTGTATTCATGGTTGGTTAGGCACCCTCGCGCAAGAACGCGCCCGCCCGCCGGCACGGAAAGCGCCGGCAAAAATGACCCGGGCGAAGGCCATCGTGATCACGCGGCACGGCCGTCGTTCACGCCTCGATAAGAACCCGCACCACTTGCGCGAGAGCTCGGACCCGCCGCTCTCCGCCCAGGCGCTCCCCGAGATCGCTGCCCTCGCCGAAGCGCTGCGAAGCCGCTACCTCGAGCCGAGCTGCGCGGCCAACGGCGCCTGCCTTGACACGGGCTCCCGGGGCGTGCGAGCCGAGAGCAGCGGCCTCGCACGTACGCTTGGCACGGCCGAGGCTTGCGCTCCTCCCACGGATATGGCCCAGGCACCGCTGCTTCCTCACTGCGCCACCGGCCGCAGGCACTCCTCGGGCGACTCTTCCCGAACCGCTCGTTGCCGACGCCAGTTTATTCTCGCGCCGAACATGACGACACGCTGCTTCGCGCGTACAACAAGTGCCCAGCGCACGCCGCGCGGCTCACCGAGTGGTATGGTTCCGGCGAGTTCTTGCGGCAAGAGACGGTGTCATTGGCTGTGCGAGGGCGCGTCGCCGATGCGCTGAGGGCGCGCGGCTGTCGCACAACCTCGCCTCGCCCAACCTCACTCAAGCTACGCCCCCGCACCAGGCGCTTGAGGTCGACCCACGGGCCGAGGCGGTTCCACTGCACATGTTTTGGAACGAGTTTGACGCCCTCGACGTTGCGATTCGTGCCTCCAACGCCTCCGCCGTGCCGTCAGACGTCGAGGGCGTGCTTGCGGAGGCCGGCGGGCTTGCAGCGTGGGTGGAGGCGCGCAAGTTTGGCGCCTCGATCGAGGGCGGAGCTTGTGGCTCGGCCTTGCTGCGGGAAGTTGCGGCGGCGGCGGTGGACGTCGGCGGCCCGGACTTGCACGTCTTTTCGGCACACTACCCGACCATGCTGTGCGCGCTGACAGCGGTGGGCGTGTCGGTCTCGTCCGGCGAGTCGGCGGATTCCTGGCTCGGGGAAGCGCTGCTCCCGACAGGCTCCGCACTCGCGTTTGAAGTCGTGCCTCCGGAGGCTGCGGGCGCCGCCGCCGCGTCTGCCGCCGTGCGCCTGCTATATTGGGACGGCTCCGAGTGGCGTCTGATCCCTGTGCCGTGCTCGAGGTCGGAGGCCCGTTTGGCCAGCTGTCCGCTCGACGCCTTTGTGCGGCACGTGGAGGTCTCGCTGCCCGACGGCGCGGCTTGGTGCCGCGCGTGTGACAATGACTCTTTGGCGAGGTTTGGGCCGCAACGTGCGCATACACAGCCGCGGTTCGTCGGTAGCGCTGACCCGTCGCCGCCGCCCGCCGCAGGTGTCGCCTGGCTGCTTTCGAGGCGATAACCACCCAGGAGTGCGCCGCAGACGCGGCGGCGTCGGCGGCGGTGGCCGTCATCTGCCTCCTCAGCATCCTGCTCTTTGGCGCCTGCCTGGTGATCGGCTGGCTAATACGCTCTGCAAAGGCGCCGCGGCAGGGTCGCGCGGTGGTCTCGCGCATGACCTTCCCGGGCTCTGGCCTCCAGGCGGCATAGGTTAGTGCGTTTGGTATGTGTGTAATGTACAGCTGCAAGATAATACCGCTCACTTCTCAAGCAAACGAGCCTGACGCGCGAGCCGCCGCCGCGGGAAACCTCATATTGAGGAGGCGGGGTCGCAGGAGGCACCCGACCGACTGATAGGGCGTTGTCTACGCACAGAGGCAATGGAAGAAGCGTACGCATCAGCACCACCCTCCCATCTCGAAGGAAGACACGATCTGTGGCCCATAGCGCTCCAAGCGCCACGGAGTGTCAAATCAGGTTGGCTGATACTGGAGATCTCTTCAGAGCTCACCACGGCGTGTGGTCGCGATCCGGCCCGTTGGGCAGGGCGCGCGCAAGGACCATCGCCTCAACGCCACGGATAGTGCCTCTACAGAAACTCTTGGCTGCCCGCACAGCCCGTCCACGGAGCGCGGAGGCCTTTGCGCCGTCAGAAGGATTCGGCAGAGAGTTTTCGGGCAGCAGCCACGTGCGACGCTCGGCCCGGCCCCGCTTCTGGGGAGATGGGCTGCTCGTGGTGGTGAGTTCCCTCCACTCCTCTCTCAGGCGAGTCGCAGGCATAACGCAATGGAGCTGTCGGATGTCGTTGCAAGTCCGTTGCAAAACTCCGTTTCGAGTTGACTGTTCGGACGGTTGCCGCTCTTTGCTTTTCTTCATTCATTCAGCCAGAAGACAAACCACCGACCACAGTTGTTTGGTATTGCTAAAAATCTCTCTCTCCGACCACCGAGTGTCTGAAAGTCACCCACCGCGGGCGGCGAGCGTCGACAGGGGATTCCGTGTTGTGTGGCCTGATACGACACTCGTGATTTGTTTCGTGACTGGCCTGGTGTGAGATCTGAAAGTACGCAGCGTACGCGCAGTAGATCTGATAGAAGCCCCGACCCCGATCACAGGACACAGCTCATCCCGCTCATCTACCGATGGGGTGCCGGCGCTCGCTACGACCGCGGCTGGAGCGCGCTCCTCCCGCCAATAAAGATGTGATGTTTCAAGACATTTCGCCGCGCCAGCGCGAGCTCTGCCGGCCAGTTGTATGAGCTGTGAGCCGGTGTGGTTCGTCCGCGTCGCCGAAACAACGACGCTAGTGGGGGGGGGGGGGATTAGCGCGATCTAAAAAGATTAACCCCTTACGCACTCTTCACACAGGGGCACTCACAGCAGACTGTGAGTCCCGTGAAGGTTCACGGGTCGAAAGACCCCAGATTGGCATCCATGCCTCTCTGGACAGGGTGGCCCGCCACAAGGACCCCAGGAATTGCGACTCGCCGCTTTCCTCCCGCTGTGATTCTGTGTGAGCTCTGTGTTTTGATTTGCCAACAATATACCTGAACGGGGCCGACTCTACAGCGGGGAGGAGTGTAAAAAGATTGAGCCAGGACTCAACATACTTCTAGGGTGATCTCACTTTGGTGGCTGAAGGACCCGATGGTCCTGTCACATTCGCGTTCCGAGTCGTGGGGGTAGAAGAATTCGAGGTAGAAAGATTCAGCACTTCCTTGTAGTACAGCGGACCGCCAGGCTCGCCGGCAGCATCCGCAGGGAGGCAGCATATGAGGCACCAGTCTTCTGAAGAGCTCAACAGCTGCGGCCGCGATGGTAGAGTCGGCCGCGGTTCGAGCGAGCAGCTTTTGGCTGCGGGATCGAATCGCGGAAGGCTCATGCCCTCGCGGAGCGACGCGGGTCGCGCGGCGCGCGCGTGTGCGAAATGCGACAACAGACGACAGATGACAGACGCCTGAGCGCTGTACGACTGAACGACCGTCGCCGCAATCGCCACCGCCGCCATTTTGACGAGCAGCGCGAGCGCGCTCGTCGGCGGCCAGCCGTCGCTGATAAGGATGAACGGCCGAGCAATAATTCTTTATTACTATTATTAATTAATGCTTGTTGCACGGCTGAGCCCCCCATCCCCTCCCCCGCGCCCATTCCCTGCCCTCTCCCGCCACGCGCCCCGTCCGAGCCCTCTCCGCTCTTGCACAACAGGAATTTTGACAATTAATCATCTCTCTCAAGTTATGGGCTTGCCCATCCCGGAGTGGTTCGAACCCACACAAACCCGGAAGGTGATGGACGCGTCGTGTGGTGATCTCAGGCCCAGTGAGGTAGTGCGCCTGATGACTCCTGATCATGCTGACCAAGCTCGCGCTCTTGTAGCTCGATCGGTCACACCGCCATCGCCGTCGGGGAGAGGGGGGACGACACTGCTTTGGCAGCGTGCACCTCGATCCTGTACCGTGTTTGTTATGCCCCCCCCCCCCCCAATGAACACACCAGTGTGCAGAGTGAGGGAGGGCGAGACGATCGAGGGGTCCCGTCGTACTATGCGGAATCGACCCTATCAAGTGCTCAAGTGCTCAAGTAAGGGTAACGTCAGGGAGCCGGCAATTAATCGACGGGCGCCTCAAAAGAATTTCCTGCGCGGGGGTCGGCGTAGAGCTAGAGGCCCAATGTGAGCGAGCAAGTACAGTGCAAGGCGCGAGAGCCGCGAGCCGCAAACCGCACACGGAGCAAAGATCTCTGGACGGAGGTGGACGTGGACCACTCCCACTCTTCTCTGACTCTGCGGTAATCTGCCCCGTGCGCGCCAATGGAGTCGATATCTCGTGTGTCGTTTTAGACCACGAAGCACGAACGCGTAATCGCGGTGTTTATAGCGCGTGTGAACACGTACGTTATGTGGCGTCAGAGTCTGAGACAGCGACCGCTCAACGGCCGTCTCTCTGCGACGCCTCAATGCCGCCTGCAGGCTGAGCGACAAAAGCCGCATCCTCGAGCCCCGCGCGCTGACCTCATGTCCTCTCTTGCGCCGCGAGCTTCTTGGCGAGCCAGTCCAGCCCGTCGCTAATGCCGGCGCCGGTGGTGGCGGAGCACGCCTAGCAGTGAGGGGCGGCGCTGACGTCGCCGGCGCAGGAGGCGGCTGGGCGGAGAAGGCTCGCCGCTGGGTCGCACGGGGTGGGGGAGCGGGCGGGCGAGGAGAGCGCCTGGATGTACCAGCTGCGGTGCGGGATCGCACTCAGCTCGAGCGTGTCCGCTACCTGCTGCACCGACAGCGCCTGTGGCAGGTCCTGCTTGTTCGCAAAGACGAGCAGCAGCGCCTCCTTGAGCGCCTGTGCGCGCCGCGGCTCCGCAGCTCAGCCGCGAGACGCGCTCGCAGCAGGCGGTGTGCGGTGGCGGTGTGCGGCAGCGTGCGGCGGCGTGCGGCGGTGTGTCGCGGTGTGTAGTGGTGTTAGCGGGATCATCCCTTGGTATCGCGCCTCTGTGCGCGCGCTCGAGGCGCCCTCTACTAGCGCTATGCCGCCGCCTCCTCCCCGAGCAGCTTCCGCAGCTCCTCCTTCGCCTCAGCCAGCCGCTCCTCGTCGGACGAGTCGACAACAAAGATCAGTGCGTTGGCTCCGTCGTAGTAGTGAGACCACAGCGCGCGGATTTTGTCCTGCCCGCCCATGTCCATCACCATGAACTCGATGTTCTTGTAGGTGACGGTCTCGACGTTGACTCCAAGAGTCGGCGTCGTCGCCGCCAGCTCGCCTGAGGCACGCGGACTGTGAGGCGAGAGCGAGAAGCGGCAATCACGAGGCGAGGCGAGGGCGCACCCAGCTTGAGCTGGTAGAGGATGGTGGTCTTTCCGGCCGAGTCGAGTCCAAGCATCAGGATCTTGCAGTGCCGTCGGCCGAGCAGGATCGGGAGGAGCCGCGAGAGGGTGCTGCCTCCGCCCCGAAGCTGCAGCGCCGATCCCACCTGCGTCAGATCTGCCACGCCGGTTCGCGCGTCGCTGCCGCGCGAAGCACGGAGCACGCTCCCGCGACCCGCAGCTGCAATATCCGATGCGGCGACGGAGGAGGCCGAGAGCGCGACAAGCGCCACCACGGTTTTGGCAACGGCGAGCATTTTTCAAGAAGAATTCTCGAAGGTACAAGCCTCTCTCACAGCACACTGGCACGACAAGGGCGCGGACTGGCGCGGACTGGCACACACGCCGGCGCGGAGAATCTTGAAATACAAGGCCTTTATCACAGCACACTGGCACGACAAGTTCGCGCCATCGGCACGGGACTGGCGCACTGGCGGCACTAACACAGTAGTCAGTAGTCAGTAGAAGAAAATTCTCTCGTTGGCGTTCTTCGCGCCTTCCTATCTATCTATCTCCATCCTCGAGTGTGAAGACTTACCTCCCTTGGGTTGTTTTCTTACTTTCTTTGCAATGGAGGCTACCTCGTCTTGAGGGCACGGGCCCTGAGTATCACCCCGATGGCGAGTACCGCCACACCCGCCACGCGAATAGGCGTGAGGCCCGCGCCGGCGGGAGGGGGCGGCGTCAACGTCTGCCCCTTTGTGGGGCCAACCAAGCCTTGACCCTTGGGAAGGCCCAAGGTGTGCACCCCACCCAGCGACTCGACGAGCCCTTGCACCGTGCTGCCTAGGCCGCCGGTGCGACCCCGCGAGAGGACACGGAAGACAAACGTCGCTAGGAAGAGGGCGTCGGAATGCGTGTTGAAGGCGCGGCCCTTGAACGGGTCGCGGCCGGTGCTCGCGAGTGGCGTGAAGCTGGTCGGCCACTCCTGCTGCACCATCAGGATTTCGGGCGGCGTCGCCGGCGGCGGGGCCACGACGGAGTTGTGGGAAGGTAAGCACGACTCGTTTGAGGTAGGCTGGGTGGTCAGTGCACATGGGCGAGTAGCAGCACGTGGCTACGATTCGCACAGACTCGCCGCCCTCCCGCAATCTGAAGGCCCGAAGCGAAGCCGCTCTCTGCCAGCCTCGACGCACACATCATTCTGATAGTACGCGAGCAGGGTTGGGTCCGAATGCGACACCTTGGCCAGGGTGAGGGGATCGAGCCCGTTGCCGAAACGCGACAGCCAGGGCGCGACGACGTCGCGGGCGCATCGGGGGGGGGGGCGCTGCGGTGTTAAGTTTATTTTTTGATTATGACACGCTTTTTTGCAATTTGTGCTCGCGGCCGTCGCGCGCTGTGCCCACCTCATGGAGATGTCCCACTTGCTAGCACTAGGTTCGACTGCAGCAAATCAGGATCTACAAACTGGTTGCAGCGACGTTTGGAACACGCCAGGTCATCTTGCGCGCTGCCCTCGGCTCCTGAAGGAGATGTGGCACCTCGCGACAACTCCGCTTGCGCGCTCTTCTTTGCAGAACGCAGTCGATGGTGCCACGAAAACCGACACACAAGTGGCTGCCTTGGCGTGCAGTGACGTCTGGAACTTGCCAGCGACAGACGCCAATGGCGACACCTACTCCTGCGGAGCTCGGATCGAGTGGAAGCAAACCATGGCTGGCGGAGCCCTGTCTCTCGCCGAGGCGAAGCAGTTCGTCGCGGACGAACTCCCCGCGTGTGGGCCGTGCGGTGCACAGGTCTCACCAACAAGCCCACCACCACCGACTAGCTGCGACGACGTCTGGTCTGTGCCAGCTACGGACTCCAATGGCGACACCTACTCCTGCGGAGCTCGGATCGAGTGGAAGCAAACCACGGCTGGCGGAGCCCTGTCTCTCGCCGAGGCGAAGCAGTTTGTCGCCGACGAGATCCCTGTCCCGTGTGGCCCTTGCGCACCCGTTCCCTCGCCCTCACCCTCGCCATCACCCTCGCCCTCGTTCTCACCACCGCCACCGCCCTCGCCCTCGCTCTCACCACCGCCACCGCCCTCGCCCTCGCCCTCACTACCGCCACCGCCCTCGCTGTCGCCCTCGCTGTCGCCCTCGCCGTCGCCACCGCCGCGGCCGGCACCAACACCAATCGCCTCGCCGGGATACGCCTGGTACTGCCGCCTCGATCAATCGGCGGCCTCGCACTACCCGAGCTGCGAGCTCTGCTTCGGCGAGCCGATATGCTGCAGCTTCCCTGCGAGGCCTAGCGAGACGCATGAGTCGGGCTCACGCTGCCTCGCATCGAGGACTGGGGCCAACGTCGATCCTGCGACGGACGAGCCGTATTGGGTGAGCGAGACGCTCTGCGGCCAGGAGCGGCCGCCGGCGTGCTCCGCGCCCCCACCTCCCGTCGGCCGCTGCGGCGTCAGCTCTTGCACGGCCACCGTTCTCGCCACCGTCGCCACCGCGCCGACCGAGAGCGCCACCTGTGGCGGTCGCATTGCTTGGGTGGAGGACGTCGAGGGGAAATCTGAGCCGTCCGCATGTCAGCAAGTGGCGGAGGAATTCCCAGAGGTCTGCGGCGGCTGCGCACCTTTCGGCCTGCCCCCGCTGCCGCCGTCGCCGCCCCCTGGGCTTGCGGTCCTCATGATGGGCAACTCGTACACGTACTACAATGGCGGCGTCAATGGCGTGCTACTTCAACTCCTCGCCGCCCTCGGCGACTCGCCCCGCGTGCAGGCGTTGACAAAGGGGGGCTCGAGTCTCAACTACCACTGGCAGGAGGTGTCTTCCCCGAGCTCCGGTCACCATGTGGCCCTGGCCAGTGGTTTTGACTTTGTGGTCCTGCAGGATCGGTCGGACATCCCGAGCAGGTGCTGCTACACGGATCAAGACGAAGACTTTGAGGCGTCGACCAGGGCGCTCGTTCAGCTCGACGCCGCGATCAAGGAGGCGGGAGCAACGACGGTCCTCTACCAGACGTGGGGCCGCCGCGGCAGCCTCAACCGTCCTCCGTACTTCCAGTCTTTTTTGCCAATGAATGACGCCGTGGAGGAGGGGTACAGGCGGTACGCGTCGCTCATAACGACCGACGGCCGCGCGCCAATCATTGCACCCGTGGGGTCAGCCTTTGAGCTCGTGTATGGCGCCGACCGCGATCTGAGGGGGGTGGCGGAGAAGGTGGAGGAGGGCTGCTCGGGGGTGGTGGCGACGGAGGAGGTGGCAGGGGCGGTGGGGGCGAGGGCGGGAATGGTGGAGACGGAGGTGGCGAGGGAGGCGGAGACGGCGGCGGAGACGGCGGCGGTGAAGGGGGGGGAGGGCTCGGCGGTGGGGGTGACGATGGTGGCGATGGTGGCGGAAACGGCGGCGATGGTGACGATGGTGGCGGCGAGGGCGGCGAGGGCGGCGTGGGCGGTGCGGGCGGTGCGGGTGGCGAGGGCGGCGGCGTGGGTGGCGGCGAGGGTGGCGGCGGCGAGGGCGGCGGCGGCGAGGGCGGCGGTAGCGAGGGCGGTGTCTTGCCATTGTAGTCGAGCACCCGGCCGTTGGCCTTCTTGGCCATCTCCTCCTTGTCGGCGACCACGCCCCACGACGTGACGCCGATGCACGGCACCTCGACCGAGGACTCTTGCAGCATCCGGCCCACCATCTCCATCACGCCCGCGTTAGTGCCGCCCGTCATGATCCACGCGTTGGTCGTGCGAGCCGCGGACAGCAGCCCGCGCCGAAAGACAAGCTTCTGCTTGTCGGTCATGTTGAGGGATCCAGCGCCGCCCGTGACCGAGATGAGGGCGGACGGCGGCGGCAGCTGCCAGATGGACTGCTCGCCGCACACGAGCTCGCGAAGAGCACTGGTGGCGGCAATTTCGAGCGCCTTTCCCAGCAGCTGGCCGTCCGGAGACGACTGTGCGGGCGGCATCGCCGTCAGGTGCGCCAGCTTCTCCC